TCTATTCAAAAAATTATATATATTTTTGTAATAACCGAATAATCTTTTTGTAGGCTTTAAAACGTACGGTGAAAGGCGTTTTTAAATAATAAAGAATTATAAAATAAATAATTTAAGAGCTTAAGCAAAATAAATTTAATATTTATCTATTTTGAAGAAATAAAAGACTTTTGGAGTTCTGTATAATTATGGCAAAACTGAGTTGGAGAGGACTATTCTATGATATGAAAGATATAAAATTATGGCCTAAAATGATTTGTACTTTAAACATTTACGACGCCCCGTTTTGCCTTTATAAATATATAATAAATTACTAAGTGAAATAAATGTATACTCTTTGTTAAATTTATTTGTTTCATTATTTTTCAATATCAAGCGTAAGTTGCTGCTATTAAAAAAGCTGTAGCCTTCATTAAAGAGGGTAATAGCTTAGGTTAGGTTATACCGGCGATTCCCAGCGGATCCACTTATTGGCTGATTCTGTTACCGTATATGTAGGAAAAACTCAGTATTTAAAACCACACAGAACCTTTGGCGAAGCCTAAAAATGCTATTTGGTGTCAGATTCTGTAATTGTTCAAGATCCTCAAGAAAGGGGGCTCCAAAAGTAATGAGTCGCAGCCATGCATGAGCTGAGCAAGTACATAATTGAGAGGCACTCTCATCGTCTTCCCCACAGTTGCGACAAATTTGATTGAAAGGGAGACCTAATCTTTTAGCATGCTATATATATTATTAATACTATATATATTGTTACGTTTATTCTAACGCTTCGTTCGATAACACTGGATCCTGATAAGTGAATAATGTTAAACTTGTATTAATTATAACCGTTATTTATATTCTGAAAAACACACAACTTTATTCCTTAAAATTAACCAACATTTAAAAACTTATTTACTAACTAACTGACATAATTCAAAATTATCTCAGTTAACTTAAATCGAATTGTATCTTCGCAACATTGCCCTCCACCTAAACTTGTTCGTCCCGAACAAGTGTCACTATATCTTCATCACAACGCGCCAACCGTTCCAAATGAACTACTTTCATCTTATTCTCATTATTTGTTATGTCCGAAACGAACAAGACATCTCTGACATCAGCATTAAATTCACTACCCGTAGCCAATACGTCATCTGTGGTATCCTCATGAAACAAGACATTTACATCAATTGTCACGTTCTTATCATCTGTGAGGTTGGCATCAACGTTTAACGGTATATCTTTATAAGACAACTTATTCGCGACCAACAAGTCCTCTGCGGTCTCCGCATCATATTTGATTTCCTGAACGGATGCACCAAAGTTCGTGCAAGTACGATATTATCGACTCCGACATTTTCCATGGCTTCTACAATCCAGCATCTGTTCGTCCTTTTATTCGCGTCTAGTGTTCCCCATACAATCGCTTCTGAATTTGCCGGTATTCGTCATCGTCGATTCAATCGAACCTGTCTCATCGCGCTCCGTAGGATACGTTGTCCTAAGTCCAACGTAATTCCATGGGCAATCATAAAATCTACTTCAAATGGAATACCCTCAACATATATAACATATGGGGATTCTTGGTCGTCCAAGCAGATGTTAATTTCAACTGATTCAGCTATACCAAAGCCGATTAACACAAAATCATAACTATATAAACCGAAATAGTCTTTCCTTCTTTTTTTTCTTCTCTTTTTTCTGTTTCTTTTTTCCCTATTCATTATTTGAATCAGTCTTCTTCTCCCTCTTATCTTATTTCTTGTTTTCTCTTTTATCCTTCTTTCTTTTCTTCTCTTTTCTCTATTTCTTTTTACCTCCTTTCTTGTCTTCTTTTTTGTCTTTCTTCCTGCCTTCATTTCTGTCTTTTCTTTTGCCTTCCTTCTTGTCTTTCTTCCTGCCACTCCAGTTTCCATTTTCCGTACTTTTGCTGTAAAGCAACACATTATACCGGCAGCCTCGTACGTTAACGCACTGCCAACTGTTTCAGCGTAAGTTAGCTTTGGAAACATTACCACCTGCCGTCTGGTTTCTGGATCACGTATGCCATCAATAAAAACATCAATTTTATTTTTTTTAATGAAGTCACTAGAACTGCCAATATACGCTAAATTGCATAAACGTTCGATATCCGCGGAATATTCCTGAAGACTCTCGCCAACCCGTTCTACTCTTGCCTTCAGTTCTACTCTGCGTAGGGGTGACATAAAATTGCTGCCATACCTACGATTTAATAAGCCAATTAACTCATGGTAATTCCTACGTGCCGTATCAGGAATCTGTTGTAGCACCTCTGCCGTGCAGCCCTTTAATGCCACAATCAGCGCTGCCGTTTTCTCATCTTCACCCCAACGATTTGCAACAGCAGTAGTCTCGAACTGTAACTGGAAAACTTCAAACATCGCGGTTCCACCAAACACCGGTGGTTTTAATTTTACTTCCCCAGTCCGGCGAACACTCGCTAACGAATGACGATTCGACGACAAATCATCCAATCGATTTTCTAACTGGTACACCTCATTAAAGACTTGAATATTCTGGTTTGTTTCATCAACCCTTTTCGACAACTTTTCTTGCGCCTCTGCTGTTATCCCGACAAGTTGCCACAACTCTTGTTTTAAATCTTTGAATTCACAGAAAATCTGCTCTGCGTTTTTCTTAAGCTCAGTGGAAGTCTGCTCTGCATGTTCCTTCATCTGCTGCATCATCTTCATTATAAGCTCCATCATTTCACTATTACCCACCTGTTTAACTTCTCCCGCTACAATTATCTCTTCAGGGAATTCTTCCACTTCCGCATTTATACCGCTCGCCTCTAAAGCCTCACGCAGCCTTACTTGCAACTCCGTCTTAACACCACCTGTGCTAAGCCCCAGCTTCTCCAGTTGCCGCTTTAATTGCACTACGGTTAACTGTCCAAGCTTAACCATTTTATTTATCAGGATCCCACTTCTGACACCAATGTTACGTTTATTCTAACGCTTCGTTCGATAACACTGGATCCTGATAAGTGAATAATATTAAACTTGTATTAATTATAACCGTTATTTATATTCTGAAAAACACACAACTTTATTCCTTAAAATTCCCAACATTTTAAAAACTTATTTACTAACTAACTGACATAATTCAAAATTATCTTAGTTAACTTAAATCGAATTGTATCTTCGCAACAATATGATTAATACTATATATATTATTAATACTATATATTAAATAGATATATGTTTAAACAACAGACATATAAGTTGCTCTAAATCTCTTGAGTTCAGTCCATGTAATATATAGAGAAGTTTTTAAATATGTGTCTCTAAATGCCAAAGCAGTTTAGTATTTTTTTTATCTGGGGTTCCATACAAACAATTGTCGAATCAGTTATGTATGAAACAATAAATTGAATACCGGAAGAATCAAAGAAATTAAAATAGCTTAGAGCCATGTTAAATAGAGAGTCATGGTCACGTCAAATAACATATGAAATTTTTGTTTTCTATAGGCTTAGTTAGTCGGTACGTATCGTAAGAACTTAACCTAAAGCGAAGTACACAGGTGTGGTTGATTGTTCATTTCGGTTTGCCTTAAATTTTTACTGTACGTACCGACTAATTGAGTGTTATGTATAATTAAAAAATTGAGAAAGATAGAAGTTTTAATCAAAATTTAGTCACGGTGGCGATGATTTCTATGCCACGTTACGTTCAAAACAGTGTTGCTCTGTAATAAATGTCTAAATTTAACATATGCCTATTAGGATAAATATGTGGGTTCTTGCGCGGACATGTAGCATATCCTTATATAAACAATTACATCTTAAATGTAGGTAATGTAAGTATTAAAATGGTATTGTATGATTGTATTACATGCCTTTTGGTCATTACTTAATAGATCTACACTAAAACACGCCTATAGACATATAGACTGTGTAATTGTGGTATTTCTAATGAAAGTAAATTAAAAATCAATAAATCTAACATTTATATACAAAGTATTTTATATATGTATGTAACTTCAAATTATTTGTCATATAAATTTAATATGTATTTTCAATTTTAAAGTTTATAACTTTTTATTAAATTTCCAAATTTTTTTGTTAAGCGTTATGCCGTTGTTGTAACTCATGCTGTACCACCTGTCTGTTTTGTTTCTTATTTTTCCCAAAATTGTTATAATTTAATCTGAATTCTTCAATAATAGGTATATTCCACGAGCTACTCATAGTAACTTTGAGTAACACTGTGTATACACAAGTGCTTCCACCAGCAAATTTACGAGTAAATGAGAGTATCTCAGAGAGCATAACATCCCTGTCGAAATTTAAATATGATACACAGACTTTACTCGTACATTTTTTTTCAAGTAAAATTTGTGTTGATGTGTTAATCAGCTATTTTGGCTTGAATTAAAAGTTTTGTATTGTTTATTTACGAGGCACTGGTGTGCTCACTAGATTTTACATAAAGGTGTTCCATGTAAATCTGTGTAAATAGCGAAATTTGGCACTCTATTTGTGTTACGCTCTTAGTTTGTACTTTACTTGGGTTTTTCCACGAGTAGCTCGTGGAGCAGACCTAATGTCACATCTTTCGCCATTCAAATATTAAACGAACATTTTGCTCGTTTTTCTTTGAACACACATTCAGCAGCGAGATATTCGTACACAGATTCTGAATGAATAATAAGTGAAGATAGCAAAACAAAAAACAGCTGACGTACTGGGTTTTCGGCAATCAATCGTTTTATCTAAATCACCCTTTACCATTCTCTGTTTCTTTGTTTTACGCATTTTATTTGTAAAAAATATATTTTTTTGTGGACTCGTCTGGAACTTAGAATTTGACACGTGTTAGATAAAAAGGAAATAAATAAATAAATTCATTAATTAAAGTAATTAACATTTATATAAATTAATAAATACAAAATTATGCAACTGAAATAATTAAATACAAAAAAAAAAACTACAAAATAGAAGGTCTGATGCAATTAAAAAATACTATAACAAAATTATAACGTATACCTTGTATTAGTGAAAAAAAAGAACAAACACAGCTGCACACGAGATTAAAATTATAAAATAATTTATTACCTCACCCCGGCTTCCACCGAACCGTTCAACGGCCTATAATGTCTCGAGTTAACTTGCACTCTGTGCAATTAATAGAACCGTCGACATCGACGACAGCAGATCCACAAGTATTAAAAAATTCCAAAGATGCATACTTAGAAGCAGTGCGAATTTTATTAGTTTTACTGGAAAACGTTTTAAAAGAGCCACAAAATCAGAAATATCGAACCATTCGCCTTGAAAATAAAACAATTAAAGAGAAGCTACTTTCACTTGTCGGCAGTGCACAATTACTGTTTGCAATTGGATTTCAAAAACGTAATAATACCGAATATACTCTACCGCTCGAAATACCACTTCAACAGATCTCGGAGTATAAAAATATTTTGCAGCAGCGCAGGGATGCTTGGTTGAAGGGAGGGACTGTGCCCAATAGTAAGTGTGTAGCAAAAAATAAATTTATTGTATTAATGTTTTATTTATTTTTTTGTTATAGTTGATTTTGAAGTTTCACTGAAATCAACCGCTACGAGCTCCAATATGAATGCACCACCAGTAGTTAATTTTATACGACCATCTGTGCCTTACCGGCAAAGAACCACATTTCCTCTAATGTTGGTAAGATCAGCTCTATTATAATTTAATTATTTTTTATTTATTCCAGTTTTAATTCTTTCTCTTTAGCGCACTACCAATAAATTTCTGCAGTCACTTGAATTCTATTCAGATGCCGTTATGCAATATGAAGATGAGAATTTGCTAAATGCTGGACGTGAAATTATACCTATCGATGATCTAACACAAAAGGCGAGTCAGAAACTGATTTCAATACAAGAGCAAATTGCTGAAGGCGCAAGTGACAACAAAGAACCTTGTATAAGAGATCTCATATTAGTTGAATTAGTGAATTGGTTCAATACAGAGTTCTTTGAATGGGTTAATAATATGCCCTGCAAGGTGTGTGGCAGTGAGGAGAGTAAGTTACGACGTACTCAAACGGAGGGTGATGTACGCGTTGAAGTCGGTATCTGCTGTGGGCAGGAAACTAAATTTTATCGTTACAATGATATATCCCAATTACTAGTTTCACGAAAGGGTCGGTGTGGCGAATATGCCAACTGTTTTACGTTTTTATGCCGTTGCTTGGACTATGATGCACGCATTGTACATTCCTTTTTCGATCATGTCTGGACGGAGGTGTGTTCTTGTATAAGTCAAGTTAGTCACAAGTTATTTAAATCATATTTTCAGGTTTATTCTGAAAGTCAATTACGTTGGTTGCACGTGGATCCGTCGGATAATGTTGTTGATTCGCCACTTATGTATCAACATGGTTGGAAACGTAATATTGATTATGTTTTTGCTTATTCCTGTGATGATGCACAAGATGTTACTTGGCGTTATACAAATAATCATAAACAGATTTTGAAAACGCGCAGGTTGTGTGCAGAAAACGAGCTTATTGAATCCTTAATAGCTTTAAGAAAGAAGCGTCAAGCTAACCTTAGCGAGGAGAGAAAGAAATACTTGAGTCAGAGGAGTATGTTGGAATTAATTGAGCTAACAGTCGAAAGGTTAGAAATAACTTTTGTAAATTAATGAAAGTAATACATTTTTTAATTTTTAATCGTTTTTAATTTTAGAGCACCAACCGAGAACGAACTAAAAGGTCGCAGTTCGGGTAGCTTATCATGGCGGCAATCGCGTGGGGAACATACATTTAATGACGTAAGCCTTATATGATTGTAATAGTCAATATTTGAGTGTGACTTATCGTTTGTTTCGAAATAGATTTTTATTTTCACACCAAACAACACCGAAATAGAAAAAAAGCAATTCAATGTGCGTTATTGTTGCTCAACTGATCTGTATGAACGTTACATAAAAGGTAAATAAATACACAAATTAAATGAAACAATTATTTTGCATTATTTTTATAATACTTATATACCATATACTACTTTATACTTTAACAATGCTTAGATGGTTCGAATATAAACGTGTTAACAACATATAAGACTTGGCAAAGTGCACAGTTTTCATCTGAAAATATTTTACGTAAGGTGGAAAGAGATTGGAAAATGGTTTACTTAGCTAGACAAGGTTAGTTTAGCTAGAATTGGAACTTCTTTACCAAACAGTCCGTTTACAATTATTCTTTCTTTTACAGAGGATAGTGATTATGCAGAAATTGTGTGGAAATTTAAGTTTACAACGGAAAATTTAAAAGTGAAGAATTATAATTTAATTTTCGAGAGGAAAACTTTTGGAGAAGGCCAAATTGAAGTATTAGTCACCACCGGCGATGGTGAGACGAATATTGAGGGTGCTACGGAATTTCAAATTAAAGCTAAACTATCAGGCGGTAAAGGTGATGTTGCTTGGCAGCATACACAATTGTTTAGACAAGGATTGAATGCAAAAGATTATCCATTTGATTTGCAAATTGAGTTTATGTAAATAGATTTTAGCCAAAAAGCGTATTGGAAGGATAAGTAGAGATTTACAACATGAATTAAGATAGCTTTGAGTCCTGCATTTGTTTTCGAATTTCCAATTTTTAAAGTTCCTGTTCAGAAAAGATTCATTAATTTGTTAGTCTTTAGTTTTGATAATATATAAAAGTTCGGAAAACAATTTTGAACTAGGTTTTTAGAAATCGAATATATGTCACAAATCATTTATACGCTTTTAATCTTCAAAATTTAGAAAGTAAGAAAGAAAGCAAGAAATTTTTTTCACTTACAAAAAGTTTAAAAACAAATTGAACAGATCAGGATAAGTTCAGGATCCTCTTAAACAGATCAACGTCTCGAATCGTTTTAGTCGTTTTCATGTCAGTGAGACTTACATAATTTTAAGAATAAAATTTTTATGCTCTTTAAAATGTACAATATTAGTTGATTATATCTCGTAATTGTTGTTGTAATCCGCAGGGACCTAAAGAGCAGAAAACATGACAGGATTGCAAGACAAAGACAGCATGGAATGTGTAGTAAGGGAGATGTCAGATGTGAAATTGTGTTTAGTAAAGGTACAATGTAAGTGCTAATTGAACCCCGCATCGTACTCCTATGTTGTAGTCGTCTTATTCTACCAATTGAGCAATTACTCAGATCAATAATGAATATATGAATAATAATTTTTATTATTTTTAAATATTATGTATATTTTGCAGATCTTAATATTCTTACCAGTGTTTGTTATATATTACCCATCAGTATTTAAGAAGATTTTTTGATTTATTTTTTTGAAAACTTCGACGAAAAGAAAGAAGTTCAAGTTGTCGATATTGACGAGTGATTGCAGGTCAACACTCTCTCATTTTGCAAACCTGTATATCTACCCCATAAATTTTTAAAAACCAATTTTTATCTATTAGATATATTTTCACAAACTATTTTGTATATAAATATATTTTATACTGATAAGAAATTCTATCATAAAGATTCTATACATAAAAGGTTCTTTAAAAAAAAAATTACTTTGTTGAAACATTCCACATAAATTAAGTACTTAAATATCTATTGAGATAATTTACTTATTATAAACATTTCATCGGTTGATAGAGATTTGCATATAGTGATTATATGTGTTCATGATTCAGTTTCAAATTCTTATAAGGAAATTAAAATTTGTATCATATACTTCGGGCCAACTTCAAACAATTATCAGAACTGTTGGTTCAGATTTATTTAAATATCTACTATAAAAAAATATAAATTTGACCTAAAAACCTTATTAGACATTTTAAACAACTCTCCTAGATATGTTGAGGATAACGGAGACCATAGATACCATATATATTATTATTAATTAGCTAGCGAGTCATAATATTTGCGATGTTCACATCACTGTCTGTCAATAATTTAATCTCTTAGATATTGATTGAATGAAATTAGTTGAATATGTCATATAACGTCCACACACATAAATTAAAAATAATGTTTTATATCTAGATTTCACTTCCAGAAATAATTTAAAAATTTTTAATATATTGGTAGCAGCACGTTCCTTGAGCCTTTAAATGTAAGTCCATTGTGAAAAATGAGTTAAAAAGTAAATAGTAGCAAAGTGATTTGTAGTATAACTATGTAAGAAGGGAATTGAATAGTACTTCGACATTTTGATGACTAAGCATGTAGATTGAAAATTTTTTTTGGAGTGGGTCGAACATCTTCGGGTAGGTCCAACATCTTTGAGTAGCTTAAACATATTCGAATAGATCACAAATTTTTGTACATTGGAAGTGTTTGATCCAAATTTTCGAATTCGAGTATATATCGCAATCTTGAACACTTTAAAGCACTAGTAGGATATTTCGACTTTCAAAATCAACTTTGTTCTTTAACTTAATACCTACTTTTCTTTTACCTAAAAACATATGGCTGTGTTCTTACATGACTAGCTTAAGTCTTATTTACATAAATATTCTTGTTCAAAGAATTTTTTAGGAGGTACTTAGTTTTCTGGACACTTAGTGGAGCATAAAGATTTCTCATTAACTACTTGTGTGTATGATTAATAGAAACCTAATATCGTTTTTTAACACGCAAGGCACATATATATATTTAAAATTAATATTTAAAGTTCCTTGGTACATTAGGACGAATGACATCCTTAGGGACCTCAAGATTGATCCCATCAAAAAATACATAAAGGATAGAGCCCTGAAATTATTTGCGAAATCTGACAGACTTACTAACACCGTGTTATCAAATCTCAGATTGGTTACAGGCTCCTCGGGGAGGTATGCAGATCTGAGGTCAATTATTGCTTAGTCTGATGAAGTGATAAACAATAATCCAGTCAAGGCGCAAAGAGGGGTTTTGAAGAAACCTTGCAGTTAATAGAGAGTAAAAGTGCTCAGGTGCACTGACTCAACTTGCCTCAACATAATAATAAAGCTATATAAGATATGATCGTGTTTGGTATTGATGCATGATTCTTACACATACAAGTTCTTCCCATTGACTAATACACAATACGCTTTCTAATTCCCTTAATAGTTTCCATAATTTTATATAAATCTTTTGTCTCAAGTCGTTGCAACCCTCGGGAATTAATAGAGCACAAAATATGAAACTATTACATAGGTTCGGATGGAGGAGGAATGAGGATCTGGCTGGGTGTTTATTGAAATAAGACAATGTCAAGTGAAGAAATCTGGCTTCTTCAATAGGACGGAGTCATAAATCCATAGGGCACGTATTGTTATATGCATTTTTTATATTGGTATGTCATATTGACAATTGACATTTTTATACGTGAAACGTAAGTGTTTAGCACATGAGTTTACCCTGACCTGAATTGCTTGTGATACATTGATCTTATACCAATTTTATAGTTTTTATTACTTAACCTTCAGGGTTCTAAATAAGCTCGTCCTATAGCAAACTATATAGAGAGAATAAATTTCTCTTTGAAGGAAATATGCCGAGGTTTATTGATCATCGAACTAATTAGTTAACATATTTAAAGTGTAAAATTTGTTTTTTTCCAATGCAAACTAATTTTATTAAATGTTTTTAAACAAATTATTGAATCTTTTATTGTGATATCTAAAAGTATATAAATTAATATCATCGCAACAATTGTTTATGAGATTTGTTGTAAATCTTTAAGTATCCCAAGTACGTCATCTAAAAATTTAGACTTATTTTTGTTTTGTCGAAAAACCAAAAGTAATTGATTTTATTAAATAATTTTAAAAATTTTATATAATACTTATATTCGAAAATATATTGCTATACTTAAATGTACATTAAAGTAATCGATTTTAATATGATTAAAATATCTTATAAAGATTTCATATTTACAAATAAAAAAATTAAAGTTTATAACTAAAAAATTATTGTTCACTATTTACTAATTCAAACCACTGTCTCATAGCCTCACTTAGCACGGTTGGAAGCTGATTTAAATCTCGCACTATAACGTAATATGGAAAAGGAAAATCGTCCATATACGATTTAATATTGACACTTTTATCCGGCAGCATTTCCATAGCTTGGACATCCAATATAGAATGCTGGTAGAATAATATTTTATTTAATTTTATAAAATGAAATATAAAAAATTTCTCCGATCTTACCTTGTTTTCAGGATTATCTATTATTATGTAGACTAAAAAAATCCTTTGTAATCGCGCCAGTTTTACTGCATTTTTAACCTATGATGGGAAATTAATAAAATATTTTAATATATATATAAATTTACTTTGATATGGATTTACCTTTATCTTGCCTTCTCTGAATATATTATGACCATCACTAAGTATTAATAATAGATTTTCAAATAGACCATTATCTGACCCTACGTTACTTTCTTCAGTATTTATTGTTCTTATGAAATCAAGCAAATCTGCGATTTTTGTTTCATTCTGTGCAAAGCACAGAGAATTCACAAGTTTGGGACCATCGAACTGTTCAGTGTGATTCAATATAATTTGTGGTGTTTCACCAAAGGAGACAATACTAAGACGACCGCTTTCTAGTAATGTCAACGCTTGAGAAACCAAGGAAATAGCTTCGAGTGTTAATGTTTTAGAGTTGTTGTGATGCATTGATTTTGAGTCATCAATAGCAATAGTAATTTTGTAATCACGTTGCGCTGGTTTAGTGCGTCTTAGCCAGATTTTGTCTTTACGAAATTGTGAAGCAATGTACGGAATAATTTTTTTCATATTAATTCGTCGTCCGGTACGATAATCGCCCTTGAGTCGTGTGCATTTGGTTGGTTCTAAAATAAGACGTAGTTGCTCACATAAATCTCTGGCATTTTGTGACATTCGATTTGATATTGTTTGCCATGTTTCGTAATCTTCATGTTGTGGTATTGCCTATAGAAGCGTAACATAAAAAAAAATTGAATAGAAATTGTGTACATAAAAACTTATATTAATTTTTCAGTTACTTACCGACTGATTGCCTACTATTTGTTGTTGATACATTTTTCTAAATTCCAATGTCTCTGCTGGAGTTAACTCTTGCGCCTGCGCAGAGTTGTCTAAAAGTATTTCGCTACTACAATTAAGAAATATAATTATTAATAAAATTTATTATAAACACGAGTTTTAACAATATTTAAAAACTTACATGCAATGGGCTGTAGTATCAGTACCACGTGGCACATTCATTGTCTCTACAACTTCACCTTCAATTTCCATTTGTTCATCCGTTTCAATTCTTTCCTTAACCTTCTCTGTTTTTGAGGGCTTTTCTGATTTATGATCAAACTTTTCGGCTTCCATATCGTGTATGTCCTCTTCATTGTTTAAATTTTCATTTTCATCTTCTTCCATAAGTTCATCATTATTTTCACACTCTGGTTCATTTTCATCTTCTTTATCTTGTTGATGCTGCAGATTTTTTGATTGTTCCTCAGTAGCATTATCTAAAGTAGTTTTATCACTTTTTTTCGGTTCCTTTACATGTTGATACTCTTCAGCGGCAACGTCTTCATCTTCTGGCGTGTTAATCTCACTCTCAGTTTCTTTTTGTTCCTTTAGTTTATCAATAGTTTTCAACTGCTTAAGTTTGTTTTGCTCAGCTTCTCCTATAATTTAAAACAAACAATAATTCTGATATTCCAAATGAAATACACAGCATTCTAAATAAATAAATCCTTAATGCAAAGATTTATTTGAGGATCTTTTAAGGATCTTTTTAAAATTACCTAATGATCGTTCTTCATTTGTTTTGCCTTGCTTGCGTTTCTCTTTGGTATTTCGCTCATTTTTTCTTTCGTCCTTAGAAATCATTTCTTTTGTTTCAGCAATACCTTGATGACCGCCATCATTTTCCTGTAAATATAATTCAAAATATGCACTTTTACTTAGCATAACTACTTTATAAAACTTACATCATTTTCTGCTTGTCCAACACCATCTTTTTCTTCACCAGTTTCTTGTTCGTCTAATTTTTGTTCCTGCTTAACATCTTCTTCGTTTTCATTTAATACTTGATCAGCAGAACCTTTATTTTCTGTTTCGGGTATAGATTGCACGTTATCTTCTTTACTAGACTTATCTTTAGATTGCTCATGTTCTTCAGGTTTTTCAGCATTTTCAGTTTCTTTCTCTACTTCTTCCTCTTCAATTTTCTCATTTTCTACATCTCCACGTGTTTGAGAATCAGGCTCGGTATCTTTCTCATTAGATTGCTCTTCTTGTTTTTCATCTTCATTTACATTATTTTCATCATGTTTTTCTGTTTCACCAACACCATCATCATCTTCAGAGTCACTACTATTATTTGCCTCTTTTGCCTCTTCGTTCTCTTCTTCAATATCGTCAGTATTTTCATTTTCATTTTCAGTTTCTTCTGGTAGTTCCATATTTTCTTTCATTTTATCAATATCAAATGGATTTTCACCTTCATTCTGTTCATCTCCATCGTGTTCTTCATCGACATTATTCATTTCACCCAAATCCATTTCTTCTGCTTCAGGTGGCTCTTCTAATTCATTATGATATGGATTTATTTGATCTTCATCAACTTCTGGATCTTTCATATCATCTATATCTTTCTCTTGTTGCTTACGCTTATCATCACCTTTTGGCTCACTTGTGGCATCAAGCCCATCTTTATCATGTTCATCTTTTCCGTCCTCTTTGGCCGCATCATTTTTGGTATCTAAATCGTTATGTGAATCTTTTTCATCTTTTGTTCCTTTACCATCATCCTCTTCATTCATTTCATTTTCATCTTCATCTTTTTCTTGGTCTTCATCATCTCCCCAAATTTGATCATCTAACTTATCAGCACCGTCTTCGGTTTCACCCATTTCTTTATTTAAATCTTCTTCTTCTTCCGACTCTCCACTGTCATCTTCCTCATTTTCTGGCTTTTCGATGTCTTGCATTTTACCATCGAAATCATCACTCATTTCTATGCCTTTCTCTTCTTTGCAATCCTCCTGCTGTTTATCGTCGTCATCTTTGCGATCTTCAGGTCGTTTCGCATCTTCAAGCTGATCTTCTGATTCTATTTTATCTGAAGCATCTTTCTCACCTGTACCATCCTCTAAGCCAAAACCTTCACCTTCTTTTTGATCTTTTTTCGACTCACCCTCCTCATCTTGCATTAAATCAGCTGGCACACAGAACCCTTTAGTACTAATCTCAATAAATACTGTTAACATAACTGATAGCATTTTTGCAGTTATCTTGTGAGCTCCAAGTTGTTGGCAGAGATAAAATTCAGCTAGTAGATTGTGTTGCTCCAGAATGGGTAGAATAGTGACTACCTTATTCAGATAAATCTTTTTTTGTTGTGTTGGTTCCGCATGTTTTAATGCAGTAAGTATATTGGAAAGTTTCTCAATTACAGTGGACATATTAAGAATTTCCCAATCTTCTATCAGTTCGCCGTGCAATTTCTTCTTTAAATGCTGTTCTTGTAATTCTGCTTCGTCTTCTAAATTATCTGAGTCATCAGTTTTATTCGTGTCTGTTGATTTGTCCAAATTAGGCTTGGGATGTTTTTTATAGAGTTTCTGCAATGCAAGTAACATAACATGTAATATGTTTTCTAATTCATTGTTAATATTTTCAAATGATGCCAGTGATTCCACATTTTGTGTATTTTGTGGAATAACTGCAACCGCTTCAAGTAGTTCGATGAGAGGTTTGGCCATTGGAAGGTACTCTCCGCTTTGTATTGATTTTAATATATCTATTATTTGCTTTGTTAGTTCGATCAGTTCAGTATGTGCACTTTGATATTCTTTTAGTTTAACAAAACTTAAGAAGTTTCCATCCATTTTATTCATATCTCGTAGGGTGTTCTTCGCAATCTGCATAACCATATCGATGACCGTATTTACTTTCGACAAGTGTGGGGAACTTTGCAATAAACTGACTTGATCGTTTGTGATCACGTTATGGACATCCGAATTATCACTTGGCGCACAGTTAAGAAGAAGCTTAAACTGCTCATACACATATAGTACACGACTAACGGCATCCTTAAGGGCTTGGTATGTGTTATCGTATAGAGTAAAGTCAAGATTTTCATTATTTACTTCGTTGGGCGAAATGATTTCAGCAATGTTCTTAATTTGCTGTAACATCGCGTGTAAATCATAAATGTTTTTAGTCGTTTTAGCTAATAACTGGCGTTGCTCTTGCGCCAACAAAAACAAACCGACAGCATTACCTTTCATGCGTTCAATGTTTGGTAGCCCTAATTCAGAGAGGGGAGTAAGCATGATGTTTTGTAAAAGCCTTAATTTAAACACACATTTCGCAAAATATTTATCCAAATTTTCATTTAAATGTAAGATACACGTGGGTAAGCGTCGTTCTTTGAATGCGTTAAGCATGGTTTTAATGCAGAATGGTGGCAAAGTATAGTCTTCAAATTCGGTACGGAAGGATAATTCCATCAGACCGCTTTTATAGCTTATACCCAACTGTTGTAGAGTTTTGAATAAATCTGTTAGACCTTTACGTTTCTGTTGTAAGATTTGTTTTGCTTCCAAAATTTGTTTTGGTCTCTCTTTCGAGCGATCAACGGTCAGGCTGCGCAAGTGCTCACAGTTCTCCAGTTGCTTGCATAGTTGTATGTCTAGTGCCACAATCAGTTTTGAATATACAGCATTTGTTACGGTTTCTTTAACCACATTTCTAGCAGTTGAAAAATGCTTTACTACTTTATTTAGCAGCGTCTTCTCTCCTTCCGCAGAGATTGACTGAGAAGCATATTTTTCACCCAACTTCTCAGCTGCCACAAATAATTTCGGCACTTGTAGATAATACTTCATTCTGCTATCGTAACGTAGATCCTTGCCTTTTTCATTTTCAAAATTATAGTCCTTGACGGTAGCATCTTTGGGCTGAAATACAGGTGTAATTTTTTGTTGTAATCCGCTTTGATATTCCTTAAGGAACTTATTTAAATTACGATGAACACGTGCTACATTGCTACGCATGCTGAAGTAAGATAAGTCCTTATTGTAGCTTTCAATTTTGACCAGTTCTTTCAATTTCTTCTCAATAGGAGCGCGCATTGTTGTTGCGGATTCTTCAATTTCGGTGGCAAATTGTGAAAAATATAATTGCAAATTGTGCAAACCAGAAATAAGTTCAAGTCTTTTCTGTTCTGTCAAAAGGACAACAGAGTTTTTGTCTATATTGTGTAGATATAATTCGAATGCTTGCAATAGCTGCATTCTAATGTGAAAGTCACCATAACAGGAAACTTCCACAAATTGACGCAATATTTGAATGATTTCACTTGCAGTCACTTTCGATTTTTGAGCGATATCAACCTGATCAAGTATTTCACCTTCCGCAAAACGTTTTTCTGCATACTTCATTTGAGTGAAGGTACTATCTACTTCATGATCCAGAATGAATTCTTGAATTAAATTATAAATGAAGAACCAATATTTATAAGCTTGTGACTCAATCTTCTCATAGGTTTGGTCAAGACAATTCCGCCAAAATTGTAATTCCAATTTCATCCACTTTTGCACAAACTCTGCCACTTCGATTTCTTCATCTCGTAAATTATTGTTTTTATGCGCCACCTCATTCCATTGAGAGACCTTCTGACGTAATAACTGAAAACCAGTGTTGAAGCGCGCCACAGGTGATGTCGAAGGCAGCAAACGTATGCGTTCAATTACACACTTTATGTCAATCAAACTAGCATGTTCAGGATAAAGTTCCAGTTGCTCAATTACACGTACCTCTATACGACTCAAGACATCAGTACATGTTAATATTTCTGACAAATTGGAATCCTTGTAAAAATTGTATGTTCTAGTACTTTTTTCATCGTTTAAGCTTGAGCTACGTAGCATTTTTTGTTGTAAGCCAATTAAGAACGCAAAACTATTGTAAGCATTATCATCCAGGACATCGTTAAGACAATTCTTGTACTGTGTAAATAGGCTTACGAAAACGTTCAGTCTTTGCTTAAAGGGTGTAAGGATTTCCAAATTAATTTTATTTAGTTCCTTTAAATTTGGTTTATGATAATGAATGCGAGTATAATATGTCATAACGCTTATAAAATATTTTCCTAAAAATGCATAGTCGTCCTCTCGAATGATTTGGAGTGATTTTGTTTTTAAGTCTTGCTTCTTTTCCAATTTGATGACTTTTTCTAATGTGTCTTCTAACATAAATTCTCCGAAATCTTCCTCCACATTCGTGGGGAAATATTCTTCAATTTCCTTAAGTTCCAACAATTCTTCATCTTCCGTTGCACATTTAGTTTTAGTAACATAAATGCTTTCTTCTTCAATTTTCTGCTTACGTCTTCGTTCCTCCTCGCTTTGCCAGATTTGATTGCAAATATTAAAAGCAAAGTCCAATTCCGTAAAGTTCGCTTCATTTATATTTTCCGAAATGGTTATTATGTTACGCAGTTCAGAGAGTTTTGCTTTCAACAATTGAAAATAGACTAATTCACTGTTGGGAAGTTTTTCTAATATGCTGAAGATAGCAGCACGATTTGCGAATATATCTCGAGAGGAATGCACATTAAATATGTTCAAAGTTTCCACTGCTGGAAACGTTACTATGTTTGTCAAAACTTTGTGTAATTTGCCTTCTTTATTAATATTTGTAACTTCATGTGTCATATCTTTCGTCATAAAAGCACTATTAACCTGGGTCAGTACAACTCTCAAGCCTTCAAAACCAAAGCGTAGTTGTTCCACAGCACACTTTATTGGTTGCAAAAAGTCTTGATAGTAATCGGCATATGGTTTCAGTATATGATTGATAAAATGCTGTGAGTTTGCTATCCACAGTTTAATTTTGTTCAATGATTCCGTGCAAGTTTGTATTGCTTCTGTTGACTTTGTTGTATGCACGTCACTGGTTAAGTTGTGCCAACTATGCGAAGCATTTTCAATGAGTGCACATAATGATTTCGGCTCACAATTTGTGCTCAAGAAATGCTTGATATCCTGAATTAAAGCGCTGTACAGACATTTTGCGGGACGCAATGCTACTTTTTGTATAAACTTTTGCTCTTTGTCTTTAAGGACACCTAAGTGTGCTTCTAATTCCGCATAAATATCTGCACCGAAGTGTTTGTAATGCATTATAATCCTCATAAAGTCATATACTGTACTCATTGTGGTCAGAGAATTGATATCTTCTACTATGTATAAGTGTTTTAAGCGATTCTTTTCTACTGGATCAATGAGTGGAGCATATGTCAGCAGACAAAGTTCTATTGCACCAATTAATGCATTTACATATGATGTTTGGTATTGTATGTTACAATATTTTATGGATATATGTTTAAAATCAACGTCAGCAGATGTGACCATATTGACCTGTGCATCTGTTAGCATTTGTTTTAATTTTTTATAGCCAATATTATAATCAGTAGCGCTTTCAGTTTCCTTACTTGCGCATAGCTTTTCAATATATGTCATTTCATTCAATAGTTTAGTAGCCATCTTAGTTGTGGAAGCGTAATTGTTAATTAATAATGCGCTTGATGTGGACATGGTATGAGAATTTTGCCATATGAGTTGATTTATATCGGAGAGAGTGTGTTTCCACAATTCTAGGTCTTGCAAAGGCACAGGTTTCAAACTGCCATCATTTTGAAAGACGGTATGAATTAATATATTCAATAAATATGGTCCTTCATAACTGTAAAGACTTTCAGCTTCAGCACCGCTGCTAAGAGTTTGCACTACACTGAAGCGAGTAGCTAAACTATTTAATTGAATATCGTTGACAGCACTTGACACTAATCGCTTAAATGTGCTAATACTTTTGTAACCACTATTCAGATATTTTAATAAACGCTCGAATTCATCACTATTTGATATATTGTTGATATATTTTTCTAAGTGGTACCAGATTTTGTGGAAACTCTTATATTTTTCGGTTTGATTTAATTTTAAAAATTGTCGTGTAACATTACTGAGACTGTGTAATTGTTCATAGTAAAGCTCATTAATTTTATACCTATCCCCGATTGAGCTATTATTCAAATCACTCAGCAATGCTTTCAACAAATAATATTCTTTTAAGCATATTACTGATAGCTCCATTTCTTTTATGCTTTCATCGACTGTTGATTCTTCTGTACTAATAAACTCTTCCAAAGATCTTAGTTTCGTATTAATGTCACTAAAATCTGTTGATACAGTCTGAGGATTAGCATTATTTATTTCGATATTAAACTCTTGCAATGATGACTTAAGCTCTTCTGGCAGTTCATTACCATAAGTATGATTAGTAAGGATTTCTTTAAAATTATAGTCGAACTTGTTGTGCTGATACTGGTGTAATAAAGCATGTAGTTGGCGTGCATTGCTGGATTTTTGCGCATTGAACTTCTTTAATATAATAGCAGCACTCAGTGATCCATAGGATGGGATAACACTAAGTAATTTATCACATTTATCTGTAATCGCATTGAATTGTACCTATAAAGGAAAAATAGTTAAGTATATGTATACATCTTGAAATATAATTGCTTACCTGTTCCAAATCGAAAAGAGGTTGAAATTGTGTCATTTCTTTCGTATATAATTTGCGTGTCAGTACTAACGAATGCTTAACATTGTCTATATAATCAGTAATGCCTTGTAAGCTAGTTTCGTAGGTAGCATGTTGTTGTTGACCGGTGCCTGTATGAAGCTCTTCAAAGTGACTCAATAGATGTTTGTTTAACCATTTAAAGTGTAGAACAAGTTTATCAATTAAATCTTTATTTAATTGTTTATTAATGAAAAGATTTTGCTTCGCAGTAAACAGCAAGCGATTGTAATAGAGCACCGCTCTTTGTAGCATTACGAAGGTCTTGATATCAATATTTGTTTTATTTACAACAGACTTAAGAGTATTCGTGAGGTTTGTTAGAAAAGTCGATAGATGTAAAAGGAGTTTGTTGTTGAACTTATCCGGAAATATTTCAGTTGCTATTGCTTTTGAGTAGGTAAAAGCATTCGCTTCATACAAATGGGCGAATTCCTCATTTGGTACACTATCAAGTAGTAACTCTAAAATAAGCAATGAACTTAAATTAAAGCTGTACACATTGGTAGTACCGGATTCTTCAATTTGTGAAGTATAATCACGTATGCGTGGAAATAATGTCATATTCCATGGCAAATTATGTAATTTAACAGTTACATTAGTTTTATATAGATCTATAGTATTATGAAGTACTTCTGACAGATGTTGCAATTCTTTATGTTCAGAGAGGACATTTTTTAAATACAGAAAACGTAATTTTACGTCTTTTATTGTGCTTGTTTCATATAAAATATATATAAAAAATTGTACAAGTTGTTTATTGTCAAGACATGTAAAGTCAATTTCTTTAAATTCTTTAAATAACAAACTTAGATTATTATCTTTTCTTTCATTCATATCTAACAAAATTTTTAAAGCTTCAGTTTGTAGTTTTATCATAGTTATCTCATCAAGTTGACTGCAGTATAAAATGACATTTGCCAAATGATCTTCCTTTCTTTCTATAATCTGTTCTTCAGCGAATTTTGTGGATTCGAGCACAATTTCTCTTAGTTTATTCTGATAATATGTTAAACCATGACCCAATAAATCCGTGTTAGCGGAATATACATAAACTTCCATGCCACTAACATAGATGGCGCGTTGTGTATCATAACCAATTCTTTTATAGGAAGCTACTAAGAATGCAAATTGCGTTAAATGTGATATGTTGTAATTATTAATTTCTGTTAAATGCACAATACGTTTATGTATATTTAGAATACTTTCAATGTCATTAATAGCTCGCACGCCCTGTGTGTATACAATCATACGCATATCATCTGTGGTGTAATAGTCTTTAGGTAATGATAATTCTATACAGCGATTTCGCATAGCACGTGATAATTCACCATTTTTGGGATCAGTGGTTAGAAATGCTCTGAAATTATCTGATTTCTTTACAATTTCAGCGCTATCATCCGCTGAAATACCTTTTTCTGATATTAACAGTTTACCATTGGGTTCAAAAACCGGATTTAGACGATCCAATATGGCTGAAGAGCAAAGATTTACATGTTCAAGCAATATATATTGACCGATTTTAAGTGACTTCACAATTTTGGAATCAATCCATTCAAAAGAACCGCCAGTGTTTAATGTGTCAGCATAGCGTATATAATTTGTGAGCACCACAAGAAGATTTTGTTGTTGCTGGAGCTTCGCTTTATTAAACCCGACAGTAGTTGTTAATATTGTAGCTTGTTCCAGCTCCTCAATTACCAAACTCAGCAATTGAACACGTTGCCGGAATGCATTTAATTCTTTAGAGGTGTCTGTAAAATTACCGAGTTCTAAAAAACAACATATATTATTAAATTTCTTAATAAAGCATTAAATTTAAATTATATTAAAGCAACTATTTTCTTTATATAAAAGTTTTGGAATAGTAGTGTACTAACAAAATTTTGTTTTTAATCAATTAAATTTTTAGCTGAGCATAGCGCAGTTTCGAATATTCCTTCTTATATATAATATTCTTATATACTATATGTATATGTATTCTTATATTTAATTATTTTTAAATAATATTTAAGATTATAAGTACCAATAGATGAACTTTGAAGCTTAGAGCCAGTGTCAATTGGTCAACTAAGCCAAAGCCATAGTTGACTTTGTTTTAACTTGGAGTTTTGTTAATTTAAAGTGAAAGTTAACAAATATATATATTATAATATATTAGAACAAAATTATAAACCCGCTAAAGGATAATGGAATTAATTAATTGTTGAATTTCAGTATTATTTTTTTTACATAGACATTATTTATTGCGTATTTTGATATTATTCTTTCTCTCTTTATTACATTTATTAGAATTTTATTTATGTTAGTTATCAACGTCACTTTTATGTGGTCAACGTTTAATTGCTTTCTATTTAACTTAGACCCTCGCTTTAAGCTTATACATATATACAAAATGTTTATAAGAAAATGCGATGATTTTACTTATACACACATATGAAAAATAAAGTCAATCTTCAAACTACTTACCTGGCTTATGATTTGCAAGCCTGCTGTAATTACTCCATGAGTTTAGTAATTTTGTTATCACTTTCCCGGAGACTTTCTCAAATATGGAGTCTTGTATATATCTAAGTAATAGATTTTCAACATTTTGTGATATAACTTCTAAATGTCGGTTTAGGTCAACCTATTATATATATAACATTAAAGCTTTATATTTTTATTAAAATATTGTATAAGTATTCCTCTCTTACCTGTTGGAAGCTGCCTGTTACTGAATCATCGATTTGATCTGTATTACAAACTTGATTTGAGATTATACAAAGTGCATCAATTAACTTCGTTTTTCCAGTATCTGTAGGTGCGGAAAGCAATACTGGCTTCTCCATGTGCACACATTCAATCAGATTTTTTAATATTTCTCGTTGTGATACAAGTAACAATGGACACGAATGTTTTTGCTGCATTATAAGCATAGATTCATCTAAATATTCACGATCGAGCACTATATCGTTTAAGTAAAGTTTATCCTCGGTCCAATATAGCGCCACATCTTCAGAAAGTGCATTTAATCTATCTGCATCACAATTAAATACTTTACCAAATGCGTTTCGTATAAATGCCTTGTCTTGGTCACATCGCATTCGTTGATAATAAACAAGTTTCATGCGTTCATATAAGATGAGTAAAAATAATTCAAAGTTCCTTTGGAACAAATCGGAATTTGATGTATTTGACCCTAGTTTAAATGTAAATCCAGTTTGAGGATTAACTAACAAGTCACACCAACGTAAAATATCACGTAAATTGATTTCATACGGTCCTCCACGGTAACCAAATTCCATAGCAGCAATACCTTTATCTAAAGTTTCGGAAAATTTAACTAGTCTCGCAGCCAGATCAAACGTCACATCTGCAGCACTTATACGTGCACCTTCTGCAGTATCTACTCCAACACCATTGGAAGCTTTATATAAATCAAACAAGTTTGCTTTGTATATTTCAGCGCTCTGAAGTAGTTCAGCAAAACCTGTACGCAATTGTTCAAAGTATTGATGAAATTTTCCATTAACCACGTATAATAAATCTTCTGTACTAAGTTTTCGCAAGTACACTTTGTTAAAACGATTTAAGAATGATTGCGGCAGACCCTTCCGTCCACCCCCTTGCTTCAATGGATTTTGACAAGCGAAAATTCTTGTATCATTACTTAATAAAAATGTTTTATTTAGTTCTGGTATATACACTTCACCACGATGATCTAGAATTGCATTTAAGCCTTCCAAAACAGACTGAGGTGCTAAATTTAATTCATCCAACAATATCCATGTATTCTGAGCTTTAAGAGCAGCTAAAAGCGGACCATCACGCCAAACAAATGCACCGAGCTTAGGATCGATTGTGTTTACAGAGTCTTTTTCATCTATTTCAGCTCCCAATATATTGTCTTCTGCTGGTAAATCTGTGCCAAAAAGATCTGCTAAGTCAGTGTGTTCGCAAAGATTAATCCGTACAATATTAAAACCAATGGCTTGCGTAATACTTTCAACTATTGATGTTTTTCCCACACCAGGAGGGCCTTCAAGTAGTACAGGTTTCTTCAGTGACAACGCAGATAGTAAACGGAACAAATTACTCTTTGTTGTTGGAGCTTCAAATAAGAAGTTATTAGTCGCCAAAAGAGAAGCAGTTGTATTTGTGTCAATAAAAAATGGTTTAATACCAAATTTTCCATTGTCTTGTATAACTTTCGTTCCTCTTTTCGATTCCAATTCCAATAATGTGAAATTTTCATTTAATATTTTTTCTGCTTCCTTAACAGCCACATTTTTAATATTATTTTTCAGCATTTCAACTTTTTGTAGTGACTCATGTGGCAGCATTTCCAGTGCATCAAGAAAGACTGTTTCTAAACCAAATATAGCCTTTTCAGCAAAACTTAATTCCGAGTTACTCACTATATAGTTGGCCCATGCTAATATATCTCGTATGGAAAATTTAAATTTTTCTACCACATTTCGCATGTGAAATACGACTTCAATCAAGTATTTTGCTATCAACATAGTTTCATCTTTCGATATATTTAGCTTATAATGTTCAAGCATACAGTTTCCTGCAATTTGTATTAGGTCCTCTTTTGTGTCAGATGGCTGACACCAGATTTCTGTGAAACGATTCCGTAATGCTGGCGAAAGTTCTTTTTTTCCGAAATCACCACCAGGATTCATAGTACCCAGAAATTGAAAACCTTTTTTCGCTTGAATAATAAAATCTTTGCTGAGATCTTCAACCTCTCCAGTCACGCCACCTTTTTCAGCTAGTAGCACAGTACGCTCCGGCTCTAAAATACAATTTAATCTTTCAAGTACAGAATCTTCGGCTAAAGAAATTTCATCCGCCATGAAATATGAACCTTCCTGCATAGCATAAATAAGAGGTCCATCCGCCCACTCAAACAATTTTTTACCTTGAGTATTATCTTTGTTATTTTCATTGCTATTTTCCCGACAAGGACGCAAGCCGCCTAAGAAGTCAGCACCTTCAGTATGCATATGACAATTTAATATACGCAATTGCACACCACGTATGTCAGCAAGAATTTGACAAACTGTTGTCTTACCACAACCAGTTGGGCCAACTAATAGGACTGGTTCATCGAATTGCAAAGCCTTAGCTGTAAGCACTGCCATACGCGTCATATTTCTTGTCCAAACGATATCACTTCGCCTCTTAAGTGTTCTTATATCATCAATGATGCCCTTAGTAACTGGAGAATTTTCTTCGGCATTTATATCAAAGAGACGTGCTATGCCAATGCGTTTTTTAAAGTTTTTGTATAAAGTTTCTTCAATAATTTCTATTTCAATTTCCGTACGGACTTTAGCCGAGAGTACTAAATACCCTTCCTCAATAAGGTGTTGATTCCAATCGTACTTCGAGTCGTTTAATAAGTTTTTATCAGCAAATGTATAACGATTTCCCCAACGGAAAAGATCACGTAGTGTAAACACATTTTTACTTGTACTCTTACGGTGCTTCTGCAGATCAGTCATGCATGAAACCATTTTTTTGGCATAGGATGTTGGTATAAGACAACGTTTCTCTAAAATTATTTCCAATTCCTTTCTAGGTATATCAGAAAAGTGCAATTCAATAAATCTGTTTTTAAATGCTCGCGATAGTGTTTTGCGGCCACCATATAATCCCGGCGGATTTTGTGTAGCAAATAGCATAAAATTAGGATGAGCCTTCACTACTTTTTGTGTTTCTGGTATAAACAGCTCACGATTGTCGTCTAGTACACGATTAAGTGCTTCTAAAATATCACTTGAAGCTAAATTCAATTCATCAAGTATTATCCAATATCCATTTCGCATTGCTTGTACCAACACACCCTCCTGGAAGCTAAGCTTTCCACTCACATCTGCAGTGTAGGTGCCAATATACTCTTGCAAGTCAGTGTGTTCATGATTATTGATTCGTAAGCAATGGTTACCACTTTTTTTTGCTACATACTGTATCAGACTTGTTTTTCCTGCACTGGTAGGTCCCTGCAACAATATAGGCAACTTGCCTATGGATATAATGCGCGATAGATCCTTTAAGTTCTCTTTAACGCTATCAGTGAGAATGTAGCCTTCACATTCTTGTAACTCATTTGGTCCTTGTTGAATCCAATAACCTTCAAAATTTAAATAGTCTTCGCCTGGGCTTGGTATAGCTTTATTTAAGACAACTTTTGGATTACTAAGTAACGCTTCTTTAATTAAATTTATAACAATGTTGTGTGATACAGGATCTAGTTGTGTAAGGAAACTCATGCAAAAGCTTTCGTATAGATTGCGTTCAATAGAGCCACATAAATTTTTAGCACAAATTCGTAGAGACCGACATAGAGTACGTAGTGAAAAAACTGGTCTATTTCCTAAACCATCATTTAACTCTAATCTTGATAGCACCTTCAGTTTTTTATAAAGTTTAACAATACTTGTCACTGACTTACGTTGTATTCCAGTATTACCCAAATAATCGCTAATTAAAAGTGTTAGATCACTATCAGTTGTGAGTTCATCTACGAAAAATTCAGTGAAACGATTTCGTATGCCAACTGAAAGATCTTTTTTGCCAATATCTGTATTTGGATTCATACAAGCAAATATACGAAAATCAGGATGTCGTTTAACTGGCATAAAATCACCTTTCTCTAGTAATATTACCGATCCATCAGGTTCCAAAATTGTTGAGAGGCATTCTAAAGTCTCTGCAGACGCTAAATTAATTTCATCCAATAAAACCCAATCACCATTTTTGATGCAGTTAACTAAAGAGCCAGGTATGAAGGCAAAGGATATGTTAATGGATTTTGCAAGTTGTGATTTGAGTTTTATCAATTTAACTTTGAGCTGTTCCCATTGCGGCAACAGATCCAATTCCTTTTGTTTTAGTTCGTTGCGATCAGCTTTACCAAAAACCTTTAGACATATGTTATGCATTATTGTGACGAGTGTTGGAAAGTTGCCTTGATTGTAGCATATACAAAACTTATTGAGAAAAGATTCGTTTTTTATTTGATTGAAAGTTTTACGAAATAAAGCCTCGAATTCAAAACGAAGTGGTGCTAATATATATATCAAATCAACAGGTTTAAAACCACCAACTAAGTCCGATACATCCGATTGATTGTTCATATTTACAACTACTAACTTATGCTGGGTGCGCTCTGCCAAATACTGTACTGACGACGTTTTGCCTACACCAGTTTCACCAACCAAAAGCACTGGTTCCGCATGTAGGACACACACGGCAATACGTTCCAGTATACATGAAGCCATACGTGTGAATGAAAATGTATTTCCGGATTTCTTCATAGAAAGAGTATTTAATATTTTTTCAGAATTTTCCGTGAGCTTTTGTCTTTTTAATGTAAAATTTTCACTATTATCATCAGACTTGTCGAAGGGATTCACTTGCTCTTTAACAATTAATTTAGCTCGACCAACATTTATTTGGTTATTGTCAACTACGGCTTCGGGTTTATATACATCTGCGTAGTGTTCACAACGTGATCGTATTATACCTAATTTCGCACCTATGCTTGTAATTAGTTTAGTCTTTTCGATACTTTGCGGCAGATAAGAACAGAATAAATCAACTGCATTTTGGAATACGAAGTATGCACATTCTGCGCTTGTAACCGAAAACATAGGACTAGATCGTTGACACAACTTAATGAGATCTCGCGTTGATACACAACGACCAGAGTTCATTATAATTGAAAAATCTAGTTCTTCACATGGTAACTGCACAAATTTCTGTCCAGTATCGGCTTTATCCTGAGTTTCTTGTCGACGTAAATTATCTGCAGAAGTGTGATTTCCGCTGGAAAATGTAAGAAAGACATCCACAATGCGATTTGCTACAGTTGATAATTTTGGATAATTTGTGCTGACAACTTTACAAAGTTCATTTCGGGATAATGGCAAGATGTTGACCGTGTAGAGATATTTTTCCAAAAGCGAGTGTACTGATTTTTGAACAGAATTTATTGACGACTTGTTGGTTCTGTAATGAAAAATATTTACGAGTTTAATATTAAATAAATTTATTAATTTTATTTTTAGAAAACAAAATCTAAATATTAAAATTGGGTTTCTAACAAAATTTATAAATTTGAAACCATACTATAAACCCATATTAAACTAATAGCATTATATACAAATATTATTAGATCATAAGAAGATCTAAGTCTAAGTATTGAAACTGTAACCCGAGAGGGCATTGGTGCTGCGTCTGTAGTAAATGGTATCGGAACACGGTGATCCCTGTAGACGAATGGCTCCGGATTATAGATCAGGTCGTTTATACAGTATTTTAGTATCGATACTAGCTTTAAGGGCAAAAAAAACTAAATATTTTTATGCCACAAACTAAATATATCCTTAAGATGACATAGCTAACATGAATAGTGTAGCCTGGATTGTCATAAGTGGAGAGCAATATACTAGATAATATTTTATTTAGCAGTGTTTTTGTAGATTATAAAATTTTTGTGTTGTGTACTGTAATGTCAAGGGTGGATCTTTCCCTAAACCTATTCCCCTGAGTACAACTAAGTAAGCTATTTGAAATACAGTAGAGTTTATATTATAGAATATAAAATATTTTTTATATTAACATTTACCTCACAGTAACGAATAGTTGAAATCCAGGTTCAATTTTAACGCAGTCTCTAAAGCCAGGCACACTTAAAAACTTATTCTCTAGTAGACTGCTTAAAATCATATATGTGTCCTGCGTTGCTGAATCTAGATCTTCTAGAAGTAACCAAAAACCATTCATAACGGCCTGAAAAAATTATATTTAAAAATTTATTTATTTCGATTTCACATATACTTTAAAAATAATTTACTTGAGTTAAAACACCAGGTAACCAAATGAATTCACCGGGAACATCCGTACATCGATACTGTCCTAGTAGCATTTTACTGTCTGTTTGATCTCCTAACTGTATACGCAGAAATCCATTTGTTTGACTTACACTATCTTTATCCATATCAAAATCATTATTTATTTCATCAGTATTAGATTTTCTTTTGTTTCCAATAATAACTGGTTCCTTATGAATATTTCCATTGACAAGATTTTCCTTGCCACTTACAACATTTTGTAATTCTGCAGGCTTTGGACATATGTGACCTGTCTTGCGTGCTAAATATTCTACGAGCGTAGTTTTACCACAACCCACTGGTCCAGAAAGGCAAATAGCTTTGCCAGATTCTATGCCCATACCAATACTACGCAGATTTACTTTGGTTGAGTCTACTTTTACTATTTTATCATACGAACCATCCGTTTGCTTGTAAAACTTATAATTATCTTTGTTAAATATTGGCAGGAGTACACCTTCTATATTTGTAACATAGTCCGAACAAAAATCTATTGATATTACCTCATCTTTGGTGTCTAATATATAGACTTGCTGTGCTTTTTCACGCATTTGTATATCAGGATTACTTTCTAAGTGGAACTGTAGTAGAATCTCAGCAGAAATTGTTTGATTTAGTTTGGACAGTTGTGTTGGAGACATATTCGTTAAAAATGCAATGATGTTATTGGCATAAACTTGTTTTAGTTCATTAGTTTTCTCGTCGCTAACAAGTACCTCCACAAATGTGGACCAATTCCATAACTCTTTATAAAACACTGGGTCAGCAATTAACAGGTTATAACAGCATTTAATTATTTCGAAATCATCAACTGCACCATTAGAATCTTCTTCAAATCTACCCTTTTTATTACGAATTGACATTTTGTGCTGTTCTGGTACTGCAAATGGAGCCGGTTTCGAACGGAAAAAGCTTGTGGAATATCTGTTGTAATTGTAACACAAATATATATGAAATAGTGTATATTCATAGTAATTTTTTTAAATTTACCTTTTAACATCGGTTGAAAAACTTATTATTTTACTTAGTGCTATGCACTTTCTTTGATATTGTCCAAAATTATCTGCGTTGACTTCTTCGTCACAATTCATGACAGAAGTAACGATAAGCAATAAATACTCTTCAAAAGCAATAGCTATGGATGTTGTGAATCTGTTGTCTATAAATTTTTTACAGAGAAAACTAAGCAGCCGTTCTATATGTTTTTCAGTGTAAGTCTTAAAATACAAGAAATAATTTTATATTATATGCTCATTATGTGTACAAATTAATAAGTTTTACTTACTGTCACATTGTGAAATTCTTCCAACACTTTATTATCTGCGGCTGATATATTCTCATTGAGTAGAAGCTCTTGCAACAGTCGCATAGAGCTACGCAATTTATTAACACTAAAATCCATTACGTTTTATTTTATTTTGGAAATACTTAACTTAATTTTATAATATAATGACTACAAAACTTTAAATTATACGCAAATAACTTAAAAAAACCAACGAAATTATAAGCACGTTGCGGCAGTAGATTTGTTTAAAACAAGTGAAAACATGCTGCACGTGTAGTCCAAAGTGTTGCCTACTAACATTTAGGAAATTCATTCCACTACCTTTGAATTGTTATTAACTTTTGTATGATAATAATATATACAAAAAAATACAATATTAATATATACATATTTATATATAAGTAAATATATATATTTTATAATATGTTCGAATACATTTCTTGAACTAAAAGTAGAAAATTAAATTATATTTTCCCTTTTTAAGAAAAACCAAAGCGTAGGGTTTGTAACACTGTTTTTATGCAAAGCAATAACAATTTGTTTACAACTACAGCTGATTTTTATTGCATTTAAAATTGTAAACGATTTTCTTGTTTTTGTAAAAATTTGTATTGTTTACCTTTTATACACTGAAAAATATTATGGGAAGGTAAATAAGTTTTGGCATTCTTTCAAAATTTACTTCGTAAATTTGCGTTCATTAAGAAAATTAATTAATAATTTATATACATATGTACTACTTAACAAATTTTGTAAGAAATATAAAAAAATTAATTTATTCGAATCGGTCTAACTTTTAAATAGTTTCTTTCGTTATAAAAAGACACGCCATTATCGGCAAGAAAAAATTTACCTTAAAAATTAATTTATATTCTATAGGCACGAAATTATGGCGTAAATATTGAAAAAGTATATATTTAAATTATAAAGGTTGTTTCGTTTTTTTTTCCCGGTAGATGGAAATCATTGAAAGCTATAGCGTGAAACTTGAACACACGAAAACCAACTTTTAGGTATGCAAAAAGCAAATATTTTAGCCATTAACCATAAAGGGCAAAAGCTGTGATTCCATTTCAGTAATCAAGAAAAATGCAAACATTAAAATACTTAGTATTTAGACAACAAACATTTCTGATGAAAAACTGGATACAACTGATGGGAGGATGTTTTTACTATGTAGTAATTACTGACAATGATAAACTCTTTAAAAGCGGTTATTGTAACAGAGATTGTAAAGAACGGGACCGGTATACTTATGCTTAAGAGACGATTAAACTACAATAACTGACAACTTTTACTGTAGTACTATTTTAATAATATTATAGTCAGTGTTTGACTTATTTTTACAAACTAGAATTAAGGTTTATTTAGAAGTGTGCAGAATTTTTTTGATAAAAAACAGTGGCACATATGATTTGAACATTTTAGATTAAAGATACAATATAAAATTGTTTTAGTATAAAAAATCATAGCCTAGAATGAAAGATTTTTGAATAATAAAGAATTGATATATGTGTACACATGTTTGAATTTCTTAAAATAAGTTTTTAAGGAAAATGTTTTTAAGTTTAAATTAATTTTAGTAAATACAATGACTGTTCTGTCGTTTTAATATTGTTGCTAGAAAAAAAAACTAAGGAAATAAAAATATACTTAAATTGTAAACTAACAAAAAGATTACATTTTATTGCATTAATAACATTATATGTAGAGATTTTATTTTGAAAAACGATCGCTATTACAGTTTTCTAGGTGTTGTGATCTCAAAACGCATATTTATTAAATTATTAACTTTAAGCTCCAATATTTCGAGAATTAAACTATATATAATAAGTACCTTATTATATGTATATAATAAGTACTTTTTGCGCAGTGCAAAAGGTTGTTCAGAATATTTGATTAATATCTTAATATCTCTTTCTAAATCGTGATGTAAAAAAATCTGAACAAGTGTTTATTTATTCATGTTTGTGTAAATTTAAGATTTTCTTAAACACACATTAAATAATTGTGTTTCAATTGTGATACTTGGCAAGCCACTTGATTATATAAAAAATGAGGTGTTGGCAATCATAATCAGCTGATTGCAAATTTTCTGAAAACTGGCGTTGTTGATGGGTAGCGTGTTTTGTTTATGAAGTGTTAAATAGAAATTCGGCAAAATTACGGAGAAAAAGTTTAATTCAAAAATGCCGCCTGCTGCTGCGACGGCTGCTGCTCAAAATAATAATGCTGCAATTAAGGCCGAGCGTGCAGAGAAGCTACGTGAAGCTTTGAAAACCTTCATATTGCAGGAGCGGCGTAGAAAAAAAGAAGGTGATATAAATTGATAATATATACAAATATTTATTAAATTTTATATAAATACTTATATTTAAATAGAAATTGAAGCAAAACTTGAAGAAGAACGTATACGAAAAGAACGTGAAGCAAGGCAACGTGAAAATGATATGACGTTGGAGGATACGCGTGGCCAAATTTCCAAACTTGATGAAAAGCTGACTGAATTGCGAAATCAAAAGCAGCAATTGTTTCTTCAATTAAAAAAAGTTTTGAATGAGGATGAAAATCGTAAAAAGCAGCAAAAAGATAATGAAATGTTAGCACTACAGGCTCAGCAAGCAAATCCGCCACCTCAACAATTTTCTACACCAATGGTGCGAGTCCAACATCAACAAATGCCAATTCTGCAAAAGGTAACTTTATATATTATTATAAGTTTTATATAAGTTTAAGCATTTCTTATTATCGTTTCATGGTAAAGCCTGTTGGTAACCAACCAGTAAAACGCGTCCGTAGTCCATCACCACCTTCACACCAGACCTATTATAAAGGCCCTAATTATGCACAATCAAGTAAGTTTATCTTTGTGAATAAGAAAATAGCAAATTGTTAACATGGAGCTTTGGTATACGTTGTCTTGAAACCGTTAACAATAATTTTATGCTAGAACAGTAGCACTGAGCAGAGTGCAACTGAATGGTTTTTATTTAATGCATAACAAAATCGGAAATTTATTTATTTTTATTATTAAATGTTTTTAACCAAATTGCAAAATAAAAACTGTAATACAGTAGTTTTTAATATGAGTGGACTAATTTATTGTTTTAATTAAATATTTTAGAACATGATGATGGACGTCGTGGGGCCGACTACGCCAGAGTTTTATGGAATAGTAAGTTCTTTGTTTTTTTGTTTCATAAAGATATAAAATAAAATAATGTTTTATATTTAATGTATTGTATAGAACATCCAACTCAGTATCAAACTCCAGGAACGCTATTCTATCAGACGAATAGCAATGCGCCACCACCCCAACCATTGCCAGAAGCACGTGGGCCGGCTATTATATACCCCACTTATAATTTACCAATGAGACAAGGTTATCACTTGGAACTACAACCGTCTACTACAGTACCGGTTTCAAAATCCGATCCTTCACAAAAACCAACACAAGTGTATCACATAAATTTAGATCAACCACCTATATCTCAGACAGGCTCACAAAATGCAGGAGTACAATCACAAAAGCCACAAGTTACAATGGAGAAAATATCTGATAGATATCATGTGGAGATTGTTAAACATGAGGGACCACCTGGGCATGGACCACCACCTCATCCACTACCAGAGGGTGTAGTTTATTCATCAATGATACCCGGCATGACATTACATCCAAATGTAATGCAAATAAGTGGTAACCCAGGACAGGTACTATATATATACATGCATTATAATTTTAATTGAAGTGGTTAATTGTAAATAATAAATATTTTACAGAATCAGAAATCTGCAGGAAATTATGCACCAGGTCGTGGTCCTGCACCGACTCACGAACAACAGTTAGCTCGGCAGCAGCAAATGGGTGTAATGCAGGGTCAACCTGGTCAACAACAACAGCCGCAACAAATGCATTTTCCACGTCGTATGTTTTAAAAAATATAAATTTCTTATTTGTTAAAAAATTACAGAGTAATTTTGAGTTTAAAATGCAAGTGTAATAAATAGTATTTTTAAAAAAGTATTAATTTTTTCTTGTGGAAACTTATTATATTATTATATTACGTTAAAACATCGAAACTTTTGTAGCTCTCTGCACTAGCTGTCTGCTGTAAGATTGTCTTTAAAATATTAGTCAATGATTTTGCGTATTTTGATATATATACATATATAAATACATATGAACTTATATTATTCGCATGTACAATATTTAATTTGTTATGTATTCTTACAAACATATGTAAATATTGTATTTTTTATGTAATAATATGTATATAATAAGTAATTTATTAATATTGAAATATATTTTTAAATGAAATAGTATTCATAAGTGAAATATAATTGCCCAGTTCATTGCTTGCTGTTACACTGATTTCAATAATAATTAAAATAGATTTTAGAAATGGATACGAGCAATTAAAAATGTATTATAAAATATGTATTTATCAGGTTCTGAACTGAGTCCACGATGCTTGAACAATTGAAATTATTGTTTGCAGGTACACCGAAAATATATAAAAATGTACTGGAAATTTTTAAAAATATATCTAATATTTTTTATGTCGATTTTGTCAGTTTTGTCGATTGTTGAAAATGTTTGTAAAAAGTCACATATATTTTTAGAAAATTATGTCTAACATACAAGTTATTAATCGATGTATTTTAGCGTTTGCATATAAAAGTGACTGGAATAAACTGTACGTCAATCGACGATAATTACGTGAGTTTTGAAACCTGCAAAATAAAGGCCATAAATCGCGACACTTCAGAGATCAGTGTGTTGGCTAGGCTTAAAAAAGGAACCCTAGACAATATTACAGTAAGTTAAGTTACACATTTGCTAATTTGTTATACACTGTTCATCCACAGTTAATTATTTAAAAAGCTTTCTGCGAGTTTGAGTAAACGTGGTTTTATAAGAAATAAACCTTTGCTGCAATACACCATCGATGTGTGCGCTTTTTTTCGAAACAAACGGAGAAATCCTATGGCTGAACTTTTCTATACAATTGGTGGATTCGCAGATTATAGTAATATGAATCATAGTTGCCCTTATGAGGTTTGTCATTTTGTTTATATCTGTCCGAATTCAAGTAATTTGTAAATTGAAACCTTTAACAGGAATATCTTTTAATGAATAAGTATCGCTTTAATGCGTCCTGGAGCAACTTAATCCCAGTACCTGCTGGCATGTACCTTTTCAATACCCTTTGGTCGACTTACAATATCCTTCGTGCCACTGTTGAATTAAAAGTTAATTGTTTTGAAAAAGACTGACCCTGACATATGTATTTTTGATTTTGTAGTTTTAATTATTATTTTATTTATTTCTCTGCAGAAAATTATCAGAAAACTTTTTCTAACTAAATATTTAAATATATTTTAAGTTGCATTAATGTTATTTACTTAAAATTCAAATTTGGTAACAGTTAGGCACTGCGGTACATTTAATAAATAAATACTTGGAAATATTATATTAACATATACTTAATTATGTACGTATAATATTTTTATCAGGGATTATTTTTATTTTGTTTATTATTTATTCTAAATATTTATTATTTTTTTTATTTTAAATATTGATATTAAATTTCAATACCTAATTGAGTACACATGAAAGTTTTGAAAAACCTCAAAATGAACTTCAGTTTTTATATATTTAATATTATAGTATATAAATTTGGCTTTACCGAAGTTAATTTCAGCTGTCAAAAAATTTTTTTTTTACATGACAGCTAAAATTATAAACAAAACTCTCGTGTCAATCCAGTATGATTCCATGATAGGTGTATTATGTAAAGGTGTTATATGACATAGTCCAATAACATTATCTAGTTATTATTTAACAAGTTTAACAAAAAGTATCAGTGTAAAATTTAATGCAATGAACTTATGGACTATGTTACAGACAATTCTACCGATAAAAAAAATTAAACAAATTCATTTTATCATGTAGATCGAAACGTATATAAAATGCTTATATTTGTTCATTTGGTATCCGATGAGTCGTAGGTTGTGCTATACTGCCACTAGGCATTTTAGTACAAGTGCCAACCCAACAAGCTGACATGAAGAAACGGGTTACTCTAACCGTTTGGTTAGACTATTTGGTCAATCAGTTAAGGAGATCTTATAAGTTTACCTTCACAATCTCTGCTCAGCTTGTAAGACAAGCTCCTGCACAATGAAGCCGATTGGTGTGTAAGCCTGAGCAGAGACAAATTAATGATTGATGGATTCTACTTATTCCTTATCGTAGCAACTATTGCACAGACCACGTGTTAGAATATGCAACGGCGTAAAAGTACGGTGTTTCATTAGCCTTTCAGTTAACAAACGAACTGCAAGCTTATAAATAGTCTAAGATTTCTCCTTATATTCCTATAGTCATTCTCTAGTGATCTCACAATCTTCACGCTTAGGTTGTGAGTTCACTTTTGGCATTGCAATGCTAAATTTATTTATGCTTCTAAATAGTTGGAATATCCTGGTAAGTATGGAGGAATATACTTTTCGTTTTTAGTGTTTAGCATAATTTGAAAATTAATAATAAAAAGCAAAAATTATATTTTAGTTTTTTATGTATTTTTCTAGAAAAACCAAAATATATTTTTTGTTATCTCTAATAGTTGTGAACAAAATAAATATAATATATAACAAAAAGTAATATATTAACAAATAAAAAATAAATATTTATGGTAGCATTTGATTTTTAATCGAACAAATGAAAAAGTATTTATTGTTATTCAATTATATCTATTTTTGACTTAATTATTATTTTATGGATAAATATTATATAATTTTTGTTCATTCTGTACTTTTTTGGACTATTCTAGTCTTATATATTAGAATACAAATACAACCTATAAGGTCAAAATTAAAAGTCGTAACAAATTGTTTTAATAATATCATAATATAATTTCTAGTCTTTGTTTATATAGATTATTTATAATATAATCATAATTAGTAATATATATGATATTAATATATATATTAACACAAATTATAATAGTTATGTTCCCTAAGGTAAATGTTATACTAACAATAAATTGATTAACACAAGTTATAACAGTTATGTTCCTTGGCGTAAGTGTTATACTTGGTGCTTGAAGGTATTATAACAATAACTTAAGCAACGATCATTATGTATGATAGGTGGAAATTATATCAACACATTTAAAGTATTTGTTAGTCAAATTTAATATAATTATTAAAATGAATGAAATAAAATTCAATGAATGAACAATGAATAAACAAATAAAATATTTGTTTGAATTGTAAGAACAATTTTTGACCACAAAAACAATGCCATGTTTGCCCCCGAGTTCAATTTGTTATTAACATAATTATATATGAATTAGATTATTTTTGTTTTTGTGTTATGTGAATATATATTTAAAAACAATGTAGTAAGTGTTTCTAGTAAATATGTTAATTTGGATTTATGTAATTAAAAGTGTTGATGTAATGGTGAAAGAAGAAGTCAATATTTTAAAATATTCAAATTAGATTTTGAAGCTTTGAGCTAGAGGCACGTATTTAGTTAAAAAAAGCTTCAAAAGCTTGCTTTACGTAATTAACATTTGTTGTTATAATTGTTATTGTCATGTTTAAGACGAATGGGCATTTTTTTAAGAAAGCCATTGGTAATTAAGCCCTGCTGTAATTACATAATTTATACCATATATTGTGTTTTTATTTGTGTAATTTAGGTCTATTTTTTTGTAGGGAAAAAATTTTAACGTAGATTAATTAACTTTTGTTTGCATTGGAAAGAAATTTATGTGAAGGGAATGTTCAGGTTTATAGTTAATGATAATCAGCATAATCATAATGATAGAGCATAATCAGAAATGAATTTGAATAATTATATTTGGAAACGTTTTCAAAACAATTTAACTCAGTACCCTAAAGATAACTATGGAGTATATTCGAAATATTATATACTTAAAAAAAAAATGGAAAAATTTATTTTTTTTAAATAATTGACCAAAAAGCCCGTTCAAAAATATATAAAAATAATTTTACAAAATTTAGTTAATATTAGTTTTAATAAGACATAGATAATCCTACATTTAATGAATAATCACTTTTTCATATATAAATCAAAATCAAATTAATGTTGAATGAAATTATGTTACATGTGTTTTGCGTTTAGTTATCTTAATATATGAGAAACTGTATTATAAAAGTTTCAAATATACTTAACTTATATATTAAATAAATCAAATAAATAAGAGCATCTTAGCTTGTTTTAGCTCCTTTTAACAGAAAATTATATCAAGATTGCTTTTTTAGTCAATGGAATTTTTATATAAAAAATAACCCGAAATGCAATGAAGAAGAAGTACAGGATTGTTTTTTATTAATCTTACTTACTTATTTGGGCATAACAACCTGTTACCGAGTTTCGGCCTGACGCAGCAATTCTCCCCAGGTGCCTCTGCTTCTCCAGTCTCGTACATCAAGTCTAGTTAGTGCTCCCTCAACTTGATAAAGCTCGTACAGCTCGTGGTTCATTCTTATGCGGTAGTCGTCGCCAACTCGTAGAGGACCAAAGATCTTACGAAGAACTTTTCTCTTGAACAGTCCCAGTGCTGCTTCATCATTCTGTGATAACATCCATGTTTCTGCGCCATACAGAAGCACTGGAAGGATGAGCGAGCTATAGAGCGTAAGTTTCGTTTGTCGATAGAGAGATTTACATCCCAATTGCCCAATGATGGCAATGTCGTCGGCGTTAGCAAGCACGTGGACACATTTGTAGAACAATGTTCCATTACGTTAAACATATACAGCGATAAACGATAAACATATATTACGATATACATATACAATGTTCCATTATTGTAATATACAGCGAAAATATTATTTAATTATATGCAGAATTATTAAAAAAATCACTTCTCCTTTGAAAGTTTGTAGTTAAGGCTCTAGTTTTTATTTTTTATTTCTACAATATATTAACTATAATAGCAAATATATTTTAAATCTTATTTTAAATAGAGTAATTTAATATAATGAAGTTAAAAATTGCATATTATTTGTGTGTTAATGATGAAATACTTTTTAATTTAACATCAGTTTTTAAATCTTTTTTAAATTTTGTTATTAGTATAATTTGTTTTATTTTATTTTATAAAGTATTACTACTTAAGGATAAAAATTAGTGTTTTGTTGTATTTGTTGTTGTTTTGAAGCTAACATAAAGTATAAACTATATCTAAACAAATATATGTATATATATGGAAATCAAATTGTTATATAGCGAGTATTTCCAAAATCTATTTCAGACATTTAATGATTTTTTAATGACTAATTAAAATTTCATTATTCTCTCACAATTTCGACAGTGTAATTAAAAAGTTATAAAGTAACTCATAAAAGCTTTTGCATATATATATATACATATATAATTTAATTAAAGTTGATTCTGGAATCACTCTTCGAACATTTTTAAAATATTACTCATACGTTTTCAGTAATATTTTTATTTTCTTATGAATTTTTAATGAACGTAATCAATACGAATTAATTATTTCTATGATGTCATGAAGCATTTTTCTTACAAATACAGAAAGTAAAAGAATTTTGTCATTTTTTTTATATGAATTATTATTAAAAAATAGTTTTTAAATAATGTCAACATTATAATGTATTTTATTTTTTATAAAAATTTAATATAATATTAAAAAAATATAAAATAAAGTATAATATAAATAAAGTTTCTCATTTATAATATATAAAGTATTTTTATAAAATATTTAATTCATTTTAAATTTTTTTTGTATTTATGATTAATATATAAACAAATTATTTTCATATATATATAATTTGAAAATAAAATCACTTTATAGTATAAATGGTATTTTTATTGAGCATTGACTCATACCACATTTCAGTAAAATTAAAGATTAAAATTAGTTTTTATAATAGTTTTCGCACAGTTTACTGCTTTTCGTGGATTAAAATTTTAATTTCTGTTTTAATGCTGTTGAAAAGGTTATGAAGGCAATAAATGCACAATATTTTTCTTTTGTCATTCTTTGATATTTTTTATTTTAGACGAAGTAAAAATTAATTGCAATTTGTGAATACCAAAATAAATGATAGATTCCTTTTTAAAATGTTCTCTTTTGTTTATCTGTACACATACACCCAACCCAGCAGAGTTTATGTATACGAGTTTTCAATCTACAGAATTCATCAAGTGAGCATCAAAGATTAATGCACTAAAATTAATCAACAAAATTACTCAAGTTTTGCATGTGTCATTCAGTTTAAACAGCGAAGAAAGGTTTTGTTACTAGTTCCAATAAGAAACTTTAATAATGGATATGGATATGAAGGGAGGGCAGTGAGCATACAAGTTAAAATGCCTGTCTTTATCATTTGACTTGGGAAATGCCAGCACGATCCTTGTCACTAATCACTCCAATTTGATGCACAGGCTTCACGTAGCTCATTTTTGATCGCTACAATCATCGGTGCATAGTGTATTAATTAACTTTCCTTATCAATGTAGAAAGTTATGAGTCGGACTTAAATCCACCATAGAAAATCCTAATTCCAATGAAAAAAAGAGGAAGCCTCGGATAAGGACACCGCATATTGTTAATGATTTAAGAATATGCACCTGGAACGTCCGAACAATTCCCCGAATGTCCAGATTTGAAAACGATTAAATCAATATGCATTATATATATTATATGTAATATGAGAAGTTTTCCACTAGATTTCTTGTATTGAAAACCTGATGAAATCATCTACAACGATTAATATTAATTTCGAAAACTTAATGTTATTTTTGGTAACTAATTTTTTTTGTGTTGTATTGAATTGAGATCAACTGCCCAATATACGATACATACATTGTTCTAAGTGATCCGATCGGGTGGTGCCCCTCTGTAAAGTTTTTTCTTTTAAAATGGTTGTTGATATTTTTTGCTTAATAAAAATGTGATTTTTCATTGTTTATTTCATGTCTTTATATTAAAGAAAATGATTTTTTATTAAAAATGTTTATATTTACTTAAATGATTTATTTGCATCATTATCAGTTTTTCCGCTACTTTATTTAACATCTGTGTAAATATAGAGTTAGAATATAATTTTAACATATAAGCACTTTCTCAGTAGGGCATAGTCAAAAAGTTATTTAGGGGATTTTCAGATAATTACAATAATTAAATATGGAATTATATTATTAAATATAATTGTAATGTTAATGAATGATGAGGTGGGGAAAGATTTTATCTTATTAAGTAATGATAATAAATATACGTACATATGTATATAGTTTATTTATTCATTTTGAGGTGGGAAATGCTTTAAATATAAATATGCATATTAATGTACATTGTAATTTATATCATTTAGAAGCATTTATTACCTAACGAAAAGTTTTTTTTTACAAAAAATATGCACCTAAAATTATTAATTTTTTAAATTTCTATTTATTATTGTATATATTGGCGTACGTATGTATGTAAAATGGCATGCTATATGTATGTATAGTACTTCAATTCACAAAAATATATAAATAATGCATGTATTGTATATATGTTAATAAATGCATGCATACACATACATATATGATATACAATTAAAAAACAAAAGAATTTCTAAAAAAAAACACAAAGTAATTTTGGCTCGTCTGTTCTGTATATTGCACAATGCAAATAAAAATTAAAAGAGTGTGAAGTAAATTCAGGCCGCAGGTGTATGTTTATTATTCAAATATATATTTATATATGCAACTACATATACACCTATATATATATATATATGAATCACAAAAACTGAAATAAAGTAAATTACATTTTTATGTCATTAAAATAGAATAACAGATTTATTAATAAATACCTAATGCATTAAGCTAACAAAACAACAACACCAAATACTTGCAACAAGCAACGGTTATTAACGTATTCAAAACAAAAAAAAAAGAAATAAATACAAAATAAGCTTTTTGATGAGGCAAGCACATAGGAGGAAAAAGGTCAAAGCAACAGGCTGTTGTTTTGTGTTTTGACGGCATCAAACGACCACATTTTTTTTAATTCAATCAGTCTTAGACAACGACGCTAGTTAAAAACAACAAACGCGGGAAAAATTCGAAATATATTTTGAAAGGTACAGCAAATGCATATATGAAGATCATTTTAAATATTATTAAGCAAACAAAAAAAAAAAGTTGTATTTGAAAAGCTTCGTGCGAGCGTAATAAAAATGCTTTAGGAGAGAATTTTAATTGAGAGCATTTAAAGAGATATTGTGACCTTCAATTTGAAAAGTTTCAAACAAGAGAGTGTAAAAAGAAATGTCAAAAAGTGTTTGTGGGAATACAATGCGATCAGCCATTTAAATAATTTGTTTTTGTGTATTTCCATTTCGAAAAGAATCGTCTCAAAAATAAATTTTAATAAAGTTTTTGTATAAGCGAACTATTAGGAAATATTTACGTAGACTGCAAGTAAATGATGTCATCAAAGTAAAAGTTTTGTTAAATAATTAATTAAAAATGAAATAGAAAAATTCATTTTCGTTTTCGATTTTTAGGTGAACAATTAACAAAAGAAACTAAAGCAAATTAACATAAAGATAAACAACGGCACGTACCATTGGCAGTAATAATAAAAACAATAACTAAAATTGAAACTATGGAAACAACAAAAACATATCTTATGGAGAAATATAATGGGTTATGTAATACATTGGAACAGCAAACGATTGGCACCGAATTGGTAGCTTATGGTGTGTCTGGCGTATTGCTTTTGGTGGCTTATGCAAAACGCAAACCCGCATATTTGGTGCGTCAATTTAAAAAACCCTCGCACATACCTGAACAATTGATTAATGAGCGTGTAGTACATACTGGCGTCATTAAAGCCGTCCAACAACACAATCAGGACACAATATTATATATAAATCATCGTCCATGGTTATCAATATTCATGAGCAGTAAAAGAGTATTGCCAGTTAAACTGTCTGGTATAAAAGTCAATGGCAATGGTTTTTCTTGGCTGCAAAATTGCTTGGTGGGACGGGAAGCCACATTTATACCACTCACCAAAAGTAAAGCAGATGATTTTGTTATATGCCAAATGTGTTTAGTTCATCCACCAAAAAGTAATAAATTAATCGATATTTCCGAAACTTTAATTAAGTTGAGATTTGCCAATTATGTCCAAGATGGGGCAAATGCTAAGAAAAATGCAAAATATTACAAACATTTACAAAAAGTTGAAGTTAATACGAAAAGCAAGGAGTCATGGTTTTCATGGTTTGCGCGCTATCCGTTTATGTGGAAAGCTGTATGTGATCTCAGAGCTTCAGTGCTGCCAAAGCAAAAGTTGTTACCTGAATTAGTGCGTTAATACTGCGAAGTTTTGTTAAGCTTTAGTTGTGCGCTGGCGGCTAGTTTGTATGTACGAGCGACAGAATTTGTTGGCTGAAAACTATACTTGTAAGCGTGTTTTTAAAATGCTTGTTTTGTTCACTGCTTAAAAACGAAACGAAATATATATTGCGACTTAAATTTAAAACAGAAAAAAGACTTAAATAATTATCTTATTTTAATAAAATGTGAAAAAAAAATTTGAAATATAAATATCTTTTAATTTTGCTCACATCATTTACTTCTTCATTACTGCTTTATCTCTTGAATTATTGTTATTTTAAAATTTTTAAAACCGTTTTGTTATAATTATAAATTGTGTAAACAAAAAAGAAAAAATTTAAATATGATATTATTTGTTTTTAACTATTTAGTTATAAGGAAAGAGTTAATAGAATCTCATCAAAATGAGTTGCGGAATTTCAATGGTTAAATATATTCTATTTTTATTTAACCTATTATGTTCGGTAAGTAAAAAATATATTTCTTGGAATTATATAGAAAACTAAAGAGGCATTATTATATTTAAAAGTTTAGATTTAGAATTTGTATACATTTCTTCGTCCCTTTTCACGTGAAAAAAATCAGTTCGGTTCCGGTTTTCGGTTGGCTGTCCAGTTCGAAGCTTAACTAAAAATTATAAATTAATATTTTCATATAGGAAAACTGTTGATCCATATGGAAAAATTTGTATATGAAAAATAATGTATAAACATTTTTTTATTTAAAAATTGTTTTATATAAAAATTTTTGAATATAAAAATTGTTTTTTATAAACATTTTGTTATATAAAAATTTTTTATTTAAAAAGTATTTTATATGAAAATTGTTTATATAGCAATTGGTTTATATACTTTTTAAATTTAATAATACATAATTTTTTATATAAAAATTTATTTTTATAAAAATTTTATTAAGAAAAAATTCAAGTACAAAAATTTATACGAAAAGATATGTATATATACCATACATATAAAAATTTATAAAAAAAGAATTTTGCATTAGAATATGTTTCATACCGAATAAATAAAATATAATATTTCACTTGTTTATATTTTAAGCTTTATAAAAAGTTTTGATTTAAATTACTCCCCTAATCAATGTTGTTGCTGTTATAGAGTAGAGTAGAGTTTTATAGAGTAGATAACATGAAGGAATTACAAATACGTATATATGGTTAAGGATATTGTGAGAGGAGACGGTATTGTTTATAAAATAAAATGGATTAAAGATATGAATACGTATATATATATATATATATTATATAATATATTATGTGTTTTTAGAAAAAATTATCCACAAAATTAACTATTTTTAAGAACTTGGTTTGAATATTCTCAGGAAAGTTCCATTTATACACATACGTATGAAGTTTTGCAGTGCATTGCTTTTGAATAGGCTAGTTTAAATGAACTGTACAATCAAATAATTTATTGAATTCTTACTTCAGTCTTATATTTTGAAAAATATATTTAATATATAGTATATACACATGTATAACATCTGAATAATCTGGGCAGACTACAAGTTTCATGCAATTGTAGAAGTTTTTCAATATAGATAAGCTAAATATAAGATGGGATCAGCAGTATGCAGTCACCTGTACAGAAGTTAGTCTTCCTAAATAGAACACATCTAGCGGCTTTGTAGTAATATATATTTAGTCACTATGCAGATATACTCGGAATATTATATATCCAAAGTAATAATTAAAATATGAAAAAAAATATTTTGAAAATGCGAACACTTTAAGTGCAGTTAGTTTTTTATTATATTGTTATTGATTAATTATATTTTTAAATTTATTTTTCAAAATATTAAATATTTTATAAATTAATATGTGCTCGTTAACATTTAATTCGTCATAAAAATATATTTACACACAAAAATGCTATACATTTAGTATCGAATCTATGTCAAAAGTTCTAAAAAATTCAACCTACGACAAATCTTTGTAGAAATATTTCTTAAAATTGTATAAACAAAAAACTAGTTTTTCTTAATTATAAATAAATGTTTGCTTAGGTATATATGTATGCATATGTAAGTATATATGTATATACTTGAAAGTATATTTACTTATATAGACGTATAAATTCAATGCGAGCATATTTTTTACTAAAAGCTCAGATGAGTAATTGTCACTTTCAGTACAGTTTCTGTTAATTTTTTAGTAAAAATAATTATTCTAAAAACGTTTACTGAAATAAACATCATTGATTAGTATACTAATAACAATATAGTTGTTTAGTTACTTGGTTAATTATCTGTGGTCTGACGTCTGTGGTTAGATTTTCTAATAATTAGAAATCAAAAGTTCTTTAAGTCGTTTGAAAGATATAAAATATTGTCTCTCAACGTAAAAACTAAACTTTTGCTTATCTGAAGGTTATTTTAAAGCTTGAAATCTTTTCATCTAAAGTTTAGACTCTAAAGCCAAGCTTTCATTCTTCCTTCTAAGAACTAATAATCGGTTTTGTTAGAAAAAAAAGGTTGGGCTATAAAACAAGTTTCGCATAAAAGGGTTCATGGCTGTTTGGCTTGGAACGAGTTTTGTTTAAACATTTGTGTAAATACAAAAGTGAGATTGTTAAAAAAGTTTTGTAAGCTTCAGATACAAAATATACTTTTGCTTAACATTTAGGAATCAAAAACATAAAAGATACAAAATTTTATTATAAACACAAAATTTTTTAGGCATGTTGCTATTATCTAAAAATAAACCAGTTTTCTAATGACCAATATTTATTTCATATTTTTTGCTTGAAAGATATGAATGATATAATGTTTACGTATATAGACAGATGCATAAATATAAAAACAAAATACAATAATATTTATATAAAATATAAACAAATTAATATAAAACAAATGTTAGTCATTTATTTATGAATAATCCTTTTAAATGTGGAGGAGTTTTGTTTGGAAGAGAAATAATTTAGCGAGTTTTTTAAAAATATTATTAGAAGATATTTTATTATATATCTCTTAAAATTTATATCAAAGGTTAATTTTAATTTTTTTTATCAACATTTTAACTGCATTTTTATCAGAATGTATTTATTTATAAAAACTGTGCATTTAATTTATTTTTTAATATTTAATTTATATATTAATTTAAATTTATTCTAATCAACATTTTAACTACAATTTTATCAGATTGTATTTATTTATAAAAACTATAATGTTTATATATCTTTTATAGTTTAAATTATATACTATTCTTTTTTTCTTTTTTATCAACACTTTATTTTACAATTTTATCAGATTGTATTTATTTATAATAACTATAATTTATATATATCTTTTATAGTTTAATTCATATATTAATTTTAAGTTTTTGTTATCAATATTTTAATTAAAATTTTATCAGATTCAACGTTTTTATAAAAACTATAATTTTAATTTAACATAGTTCTAAGTATTTATACTACTTTATATTAGAATTTATGTGCAATCGGTTATTAAAAATTGTCTGTATTGAGTTGGGTAAAAACTATTCGGCGTTCTTCTATTCTCTTCACTTTAAAGTGTTACTTCTATGATTATGAAACTATACCTACATACTTTCGTAATATCTGGTAACCATTCAGAGAGGAAACAGAAACTGCAAAAACAGTGCACATTGCTGGAATTGACGAAAATGAAGTGATTGCATAAAATTTCATCTATTATACTAAATACCGTCTAATTAAATAATTAATTTCAATCTATATCACCGATATTAAACAATTAATAGAAAGACAGGGGAAGATTGATCAAAGTCCTTAAAATACCCAGAGATAAGTCATAAATCAGAGTAAGCTAGTTGTTTTAGCAATTAGTCTATGAGAATTAATTACTGGTTTTAATATTTTTTTGATTGATTTCCGGACACGAACTTGTTTTAGAGTCGAAGTGCCGTGTTCACTCCATTTTATTCTCTTGTTTTAAACAATATTATGGTACGACTATAATAAGTAATAAGTAATAAATACTTATTTTAAATAAATTTAACAATATAACTAAGCTTTCTATATGCCATAAGAACATAAAAATTTAATTTTAAATACATATCTACAAATATTAATTAAAAGCTCAAACATTGCTAAAGACCTCGCTACATAAGATTCTTTGTCGCTGTTACCCTATAAGAGTTTACCATCTAAATTGTGAACATATATTTTAAAATGTAGTAGTAGGAGAAATATTGTTTTAATTAATATGCACATTTTTTGTAATTTCTACATTTTATTACTAATAATATTTTCTTTAATTAGTAAACACTTGTTTAAATTTTCATTTTATGTGTTGTTGTTCCTATTGGGTGTTACTTTCTGCGGGGGACTAAATTATACACAAATATCAATTAAAAAGTTAAAAATACTTAGTTAGGTCAGTATGTGTTAGAAAGATCAATTACATTACAATATGTAATAAACAATGTTTTTGCAATTATAGGAAAAAATTTATTAAATATGAACATAGCGGCGTATTTAATTTAGAACAGGGTTAGGGTTAAGTGTTTAGTACGTGTTCTCTTTTGAATTTTTATTTTTCAGTTTCAATAATTAATTGAAATTGACTATTTCCGTTACAATAATATCGAAGATATGATGGTCAAGACCAATTGCAAATACCTATCAGCTCATCCGATGTGAACTGGAATTATGCTTATAGACTAATTAAGCGCTATAAGTAGTACAGCTTGTAATAAGCTGTTAGACAATAGGTAGACAATGGATCGAAAAATGAGAACAAAAAATAAAAAGTAGTTTAATAATACTTCCAATACTTGTTCAACAATAGAAATACTGGGAAGTTTCCTAGTTCAAACTGAACACAGATTAAAAACTTATTAAAAGCTATGTAAATAAAGTTTTAAAAGCCATTGTTTTTCATAGATATGATTAAAGTAAGTTGATTCTTGAAGATTTTACATAATATAGAATAAAAAAGAATTAAGTGAACCAAGTTTTCTTCTTAAATTCACTCCTATAGTTTAATGAAGTACTATTCACCTATTCCTTTAATGTTTAACCGTTCGCATACAAAACTGACAGAATTCTTCAAGGACGGTTGAGTGACTCTGGATACAATAAAATATATTGTTATGTAGTATACTCCACAATTGGTGGCTTTACAATTAATTAATTTTGACTCAAAAACATTCCACTTTCTACATTCTATAATATATTTATGATGTAAAGTATACTTGTATAGGTAATGCCTAAGTTTAAATAGTAAACATTATAATCATACTTTTGAATAGAAACCTTTTGGCAACAAGTATTTACATTCACATCACATCGTGTTTTTAATATGCAGTATATGTATATAAATGTATATTCCAGTACAATTTTCCCTAACATCTAGCAATATGGTTTCGGAATGAAAGCCAAATTCTGATGTGTGAATTATTTGAGAACATAGATGAATCTACCATCGCAATGGCAAAGGACTTGATCACGAAGATTGTGAACTTGCTTAAATTAGATTAAAGAAAAAACATCAGATCTTATAGGTAGCATTAAGTATGTAGTACCATTTACTATAATGCTATCGCAGCACTGTGTTATAGTGCTGATATTTCAAAGGCGCTATATTTCGACATATTAGTGCAAGAACTTCTATAAAAAAAGGGTGATCGAATCTGATAATCACTTTCTATGTACTTGTCCATGCTTATCGACGAAATGATTTCAATGTCCAGAATATAGTTTTTTAGCGGTCGGGCAACGATTATGAAGAGAGTTCTATCGGATCTCCTTAACTTCCTAACTTAAACAGACACCTGGTCGCATTTGAAGAACTGATGCCAATAAAATAGATATGCAATGATCTCGAATAGTTTGTAATTAAAAAAACAAATGGCAAAGTTTTAGAACATCCAAGATGACTAGGATTACTTGTCTCGTTTAACAAGATAGTCACCAATTCTGTCCTAATTCTTATGTAGAATAAAGACTGCAGAATAATAATATACGTCAATGGAATACTGTTTGTTGAAGGCAACTGCTTATAAAATGGGCTTAGACGAGTTTGACAAATGCAGTAAATACCCGGAGAAGATGAAATTTTTTAATACATTATATTTGAATTCTCAACCCTATCAAGAATGCAAATCTAACATTTTGATGTGTTATGTGCTTATGCATAATGCTTTTGCTAAATATAAAGTATTTTTTTTGTTGTCATTTATAGAGTCATTTTTATTAAAATTACTTTAAATTGCCATATTCAAACACTTAAATACTAAGTATGGCTAATTTTAGTTTGTTTTCAGTGTCTAAATTATTCATAAAGGCAATCTCTGCTATTATTCGAACACAAAAAGTTCATCACATTCAAAATCGGTACTCAGAAATAATGTGCGTCAATTTTATCAGTCGCCCTCGGTTATTACCTTATCTAATTAACTAATCATATTGAGTTAAGTACGTTATGATTGCTTATATTAAATGGCTTAATATTGATTTATTAAATATTATTAATATTTTCTAATCGAATAATTTATATGCAGAAATCTGCTTTATATGATAGAATTGTTGATGTTTGATATCTGACTACTTGAGTCATGCCTGTCAGTTGAAACGCTACTTTTTGCGGTTTTGAGGTACTGGTAATTTCCTATTATTTCAAAGTTCAAACTTGTTTATATATTACATTTATTTCCTTATTTTTTTTAATTATTATAATAAAAATCTTACTATTGAAATAATTGTTTCTGGAAACAATCATTTTAAATTAACATTCAATGAGTAACTTTGTAGATTATAATAGTTTTTCAAGAAAGTGAAACATAAAACTTTAATGTTGACAAAGAAACCTATATTTTTTATTTATTTTTTTAAATTAAGATTGAAAATTTTTTCATATCATGGGTTTATATATATGTTCTTGTTTATTAACGGTTTATAGTTAAATCCACAGATTTTTCTTTCTCAGAATGTCGATTGAATGTACTCGTATGAGAAAATAGTTTTAGTCATATTATATTCTCAGTAGAACATATTAAAATATTTCCATTGCCTATTTTTATCTAACGAAATTCTTTGCCATAGTTTTTCGGTTTTAGAACTAATAATCTCGGACAACAAAGACTGGTTTAAGTTAGCAAGACATTTTACTTTGTGACTTCTATGAGGATTTTAATATCAGTTTTTAAAATTTCGTTCGGTTTTCCAAAGAAAGGTTTTTCAAGATTTGTGACTCTGGTGTTAGTTAACTTTTCCTTCTTCTATCTTTGTTTTATTGTGACACATGGTGCGAAAATCGTCGATTAGATCCCATTGCCTTGGTGCGTGTTTGCCTATTAGGCTGTAATACCTACTTCGGTCTCGCAGAAGTTAATTTGTGTCCTACTTCTAGGTATGTTAGTAGAACTACACGACAATAAGTGAAAGCTCTTCGCAGATTCGTTCTGTGTCAATTGGTCGGCTATGCAATGTTGTTATAGTTGTTATGTTTTGTCATTCAAATAATTGTTCTATCTACAGATTTCGTTGAATGATGTGTTGACTACTACAAAAGCTTTGATTTTTTTACACGAAAGCAGGCAAATCATCTTTGTAGTCCGATCATGTCTTATACGTATGTTGTTCTGAGGTGGATTATAACCCAATACCGTCTTTAGCAGCACTGATTTGATTATGCAGATAATAAGGTTTCTTCTTTGTGATGAAGTTTTATAGACCATACTTATACGATATTTTCTATAAACTTCCTACATTACTTGTATATTCTTTTTTTTATTCCGAAAATAACTTATTTTATTCACAAAACTGCTGTAACACCTCAACTGGATTTCTGTTGTTTGGTAGTCTTTCCGTAACCACTTAGTTAAGGAAAAAAATCGATTAAAATTTGTCTAGAAAATATTTATAAAAATTTTTCTATTTTATATATATATAGATTTCGCAATAATTTGTAATTAAATTTTCATTTAATATTTCTTAATTAATGACTAATATCAGCAACTGTTAAGTTTAAACTGCTGCGTAATGTATACATATTTTATTTTTTTATTGCACAAATATATTATCTAGACTGAGAAAATTTATTTCTGATATCTTTATTTAGTATCTTAAAGTCTACCTTAATAAATAATATACGAGCATAATTTATTGTTATTAAAAAATTTTAATTTTAGATATGTGGCGTTTTGCTGATAGTTTTTGGAGCGATGCTCTTCAGCAATGTACACTCCTTAGATGACATCAAAGAAGCAGTACAAACTCAACAAGTGCCCATTACAATGATTGTTTTGGGTGCAGTTATTCTTCTCATATCATTCTTTGGCTGCTGTGGCGCTATTCGGGAATCATATTGTATGTCGATGACGGTAAGTTCAAGCAAAATTAATTTTTTTATTAAATACTGAAGTTCTGTACAACAGAACAGAAATTAATATTTATTATTAATTAAAATTTCAGTACTCTATACTCTTGTTTGTACTTATGGTTGGACAATTAGCACTTGTAACATATATGTGGCTACAGAAAGATAGATATTTGGTTATCATGGGTGATGTTGTGGAGAGAGCTTGGGAACGCAGAACCCGTAAAGCAGATTATATGGATGCTTTGCAACTTAGTGTAAGTATTTTAAATTTGTCTCTCAAATAATTTTAATTAACTTTTAATTTGTCTCTCAAATAATTTTAATTAATTTTTAATTTGTCTCTCAAATAATTTTAATTAATTTTTAATTTGTTTTATAGATGGAATGCTGTGGCAAGAATGGTTACGAAGATTATAGTTTCCAAGGTTATTTCCCACGCTCATGTTGTAAGGATCCAAATGCTTGCCGTATTGAAACTGTCTATCGTAGAGGTTGTAAGGCTACATTTGTTGATTTCTGGGATAAAAACAGTGACATTATTAAATATGCCGGCTTGGTGATTGCTGCCATTGAAGTAAGTCCAAAACAATATAGATAACATAAACAGTAACAGCGCTAGAGCAAGCGTTTACGTCGAGATCAGTTTTCCGAAGGCTCTATCATTTTTTAGAGTTAAAAAGATGTCGCCGACGCCTAACGCAACCACTGAGCATATTTCAATAGAAACTTGTTATATATGTTATAAAAGACACAATTTATTTATTGGCATATATAATAATTATTAAATGAATAGTAGTAATGTTATTTGTTTTAAGTATTCTGTATGTGAATGATGTATATACCAGTTAACATTATATATATTATAAATTATAATTACAAATGATATTAAATTTTAATTTTAACATTTTTGAAAATTATATTGCTTATTATTATAATAATAAATTACTATGTAAATTAATATGTTTATTTAAAGAAAACATATTCGACTCATTTACAAGTTTTGTAAACGATGAAAATAATTTATAATATATATAATTCAATATGTAATATAAATCGGAATAAGTTATATGCACTTTTATAATTGTTTATTACTTTATTAATAACTTTTCCTTTGTTTTAGTTTGTTGGCTTCATCTTTGCTTGCTGTCTGGCTAATAATATTCGCAACTATAGACGCCGAAGAGACTACTAAGCGATATGCCTTGAAGGCAATTTTAAGAATCTTCAGTTTATGAATTTACATTTATTTAATAGAATTAACGAATTTGATTTAAAAATTGAATCTTAAAATATTATAACAAAAAGTTGAAATTGTTTTGTGTATAAAATATTAATTATCGTTTACAGTTTTAACTGATTTATATATAGAAATTATAAAGTATTTATTTATTTATTATTTAAAAACTATTAATGTAAACTTTTAAAATTAAAAACTAAAAACGACTATATAAATGAAACTAAATACAAAAATAAAATAAAAACAGTTTTTTATTTCAATAGTTTACAGTAATTGTTTTTATATAACAAATAAATAAGTAATAAGTAAAATAAGTCTAAATAAAAAAAACAGTATATTAAATTTAATTAAATTTCCAAATTGCACAAAACTTTTGAAAAATCGAATCTGATTAACTCTTAAAATAGCAGTAATAAATTATTAATTATAACAGATTTTGTTTTACATAGCATTAATTAAAAATATTTTCTACAATTTAATGTATAAATATAATTAGTAATAATCTTTTACTACAAAATAAAACAGAAACTAAAAAAACAAAATTACTTGTGAATCCCACGGTGTTTATATATATTCGATTATCTATTTATTTGTCAAAAAAAAAAAATTAATTTAATTTATTTGTTAAAAATTTATTTTTACACTATGATTAGATATTGGGAAATTTCATTATTTAAAGAAAATAGTAACTTATCTAAAAGAGTGACAGCAGGTGATGTAATTATAAAACTTTTATTTGATAATAATTGAAGTAAATTTATGTAGTTTAGTTAGAAAATATAATGTCTGGTTCCAAATATCACTTAAGAGAGTTATAATAGTTAGTACAATTTTATATAGGTATATACTATAATTTTGGAATGTATTACAATTCATTTTATTTTTATTTCTTTATTATATGACTTAAAAGATACAATAAGTTAAATATTAAAACTTAAGTAATACTGACAGTGAGTTTTTACTGACTTTTGTTATTTACAAACGTCTACATTGAATATATATATAGTATAAAATTCTTAGAATTTTTAAAATATATTGTTGTTGTCGTCGTAACCCACTGGGACCTGTAAGCAGTTAACATGAAAGGATATACAAGACGATTACATGGATAGGGAAGTGGGTGGTTAGTGGTTGGTGGAGGAGGGGGGAGGGGGGGAGGGAAGAGGATTGGGTGAGTGAGATAAAACTCAACGTTAACCGGGATACAGCCAAAGAGACCTGGCCACTTCAATGGAGAATAGATGGACGACGTTATGGGGAGAAAAGCTGCAGTTAGAGCAACACATTGGAAATATACGTGTTTTTAAAATATATTCGATAGGGATGGTTGTAAACATAAAGCCAAGTAGGGGGTTTTTGTCACCTTTGTTGAAACTTTAATAATAAATTTATTATTTTTATAACAATATTTTAAAAAATCCTATATACGGATCCAGATTTAAAGAGCAAAAACATTTTATTTAAACTCTATGACTCTAATTCTGAATGTACAAACATATATATAATTATAAGTATAACATATTTAATAATCATAAATCTTGTAAAACTGCTAGGTTATTTGAATTTGATAATTTCTGATTATTATATTCTTTATCCGTGGCATTTTTGATTAATTCAGAGTTATCTGCGGAAATTGTATTATCATAGTTTTATATATAATATGCACTGTTACAAATTATCTTGTGTCTTGTACTAGTTTCAAAAAAGTTTCATAAGTTTAGTTATTTATAATAATATATATCGTGTAATACTTAAAGGAAATCGTCATGTTTAAATTTGAGTGATAGTGATATGGTCTTGGGTTTATTTTCAGATTTCTTTTAGTTTCATAAATACTATATAAAATACTAGAAACATTTCTTAGAAGATACGCTTAACCTTACAATTTATACGTTATTAGATGCGTTATGTACATTTAAATTAATTTGATTGAACCATCCTCATAATTCATTAGTCAGTTTTCCTATTAACATAGGTAATGTAAAATAATATTAAAAGAAATAATAAAATTAGTAACTTATTGAAGATATCGTACTTAGATACTTTTACTTCCAGATACTTAGAAAGTAGTCAGGTATAAATATCAGTTTTAGTAACTGACCGAATACAATTCTATAAAATGTTAGTTGTTATAGAGTAAGTGTATTGTAAATAAACTCATTATCTAAAGAAAAGGTGCCTTTCAAAGTAAACGAGAGTTCTAGATGTATTCATTATATATCGGTTCAGTGGACTCATTGAACAGATATACATTATTACAATTTTTTTACATACCATAAATATGTAAAAAAATATAGGTTTTTATATTATTAAGAAATCATCACAGTTTTTTAAAAGTAGAAAATAAATATTTATTTACTTGTTTACTTATATTAAATAAATTATTATATTTCAAATATTATATAAACTAATAAAATATCCAATATCACTATATATACCAAATATCAAAATTATTAAGTAATGTGTCAAGCTTATTTCTTTTTTAAATTGAAAAAATTAACATCTGTTATTTCTTATATTATTTATCTAATATAATAAAACCTATATTTTTTAGATCTTTTCTCTCCAATTTTCAGACAACAACCACTTTGGTTTCGTTTTCATAAATCTATTAACTACTTCTTTAAGTCTGGTAGTAATATTGTTCATTATATGAAATCTTGTTAATTTTTCATTCGCCTAGGTAACTCTCTAATAAGTTTTAGTTCTATTGAGAATGCACCATGTTCCTTCTGCTGCCGCAACGGAGTAGAAAAAAAAAATATTATAAAAAATAAGGCGGTAGGATAAGATGGTAGGTGATAGGATGATTATGATAAATAATTTGGGTGAACACGGCTCCTCTGGGTCACTAGGTACATATATTCACCATTAAAAGGATTAAAATTAATTTTTCTCCTTTCACTTATATTAATAATATACCAGCTATTGTATAGACTATCACAGGGCTGTTCAAACCAGATGCGATCGACGGCTAATGCAAATCAATGTATAGATTGGGGGGCCGCAGAAACAAAGACATACGTTCATAGTTACTTTTGACAAAAATAAAAATAGGGTTATAATGTTAAATTTAGTTTTATTAATTTAACAATTTAAATCCATTTATTTATTATACCATAAAATTAAAATAATGTTGTTTTAGCAGTATACCATAATTGTGGTGGATTAAAAACATGTCGCGGGCATGCTTCGGACAGTCCACAATAAAGCTCACATATATATAACATATTTTTTTGATGGAGTTTATTTCATTTCCACAATTTACAAAATATAATACCTTACTCGACTCTCTTCTCTATCTATTTGATATATAAATCTAGAAAAATTAATAAAGTTTCATGTAATGTTTTTGTTATAAGTTCCATGTTACTTGACTGCAAAAAAAATTAAAGAATGAAAGTAATTGTATCTTTCATAGTGCATTGATAACATCGAATAACGCATTAACATACTTTTTTTTTAGATAAAAATTATAAAAGCGAAATTATTTTTAGACGTCACATGAATAGCTACTCCCGCTCTACAATCTCACTACAATTTTCTAATGATTGAACCCAGGAATAATATATTTAACTGATATGTATAGAGTCTAATATAATATATGTTAACGTAGGTGCAATTGAAAAATAAGTTTATGGTATAATAATAAATACATAGCTTTGCACACTCATTTCTATATTGATATTGTATAATTATTTATCAATAATATCTGCTAACATTCAAAGTTTATTAGACTAAATTGTGCCTGAAAATATCTTATTGTGCTAGTAAGCTTATCAGGGGTAATTCTATTTGAATATTTTAAGTCTAAATAGTACTTGTACTTCACACTCCAATGTGGTTCGAGCTGACTCATCTGCACTTGCTTATGATTCATAGGCCGCGTGCTGTTGAGCGCCGGTGATCAATCGTCTTGTTTTGTTTATGGAAATGGTGTGTATGCTATGTGCACTTGAACAGGTGGCACACTCCAAAATCTGTGCGAAAATCTATAAATTTATCAAGTACATACCATATATATAGCTCAGTACATGATATTGATTGAATTATCTTTTGAATTTTAATACACGTGTAAAATGTTGCTTTAGATAAAGAAGTTAATTAAAATCCTAATCGGTTATAAAATTTCAATAGCAATTACTTTATGGAATGTATACACTTATATGTGAAACATTTTTGTTTATATAGAGCTTATTAGATGTTTTACTTGCTATAAACAATACATTAGTTTTTATAAATTTTAATTTAAGAATATATACCTATGCTTTATTTTTATCAGATAAGCTTTAAATATTTTATGTTGTTATTTATTTCTATTTGATTAATATATGTTTGATAAGAAATTAATTTTTTATCCTTCTTTTATAATATTTTATGAGAGACAAACCATTGAACTTTATAATTTATTTCAGTGCATCAAATACTAACGCAACTTGCAATTGTAATTAGAAATATATGAATAGGGTCTCCTCTTATTAAATCTATGTATTTCTGCATGTCAGTCATTTATTTAAGTAATCATTAAATAAATTAGCTACTTTTATTGACATTAGAAATATAGACTCTGTTATTATTTATAACAGTTAGTAAGTTTTAACGTTAGCTAAAAATAAAGTTTGTATTTGATAAATTAATTTTAAAAACAAGAACATTTAATGTCAATGTTTTAATTTTGATATTGAATTTGTAGGTATTTATGTATTTACTAAACCAAATGTATAAGCAAGGTCAGGCTTGCTAAGTTCTTTGGATTACCAAAGCGGTAGTAGGATGCGTAGATCACAACGGTCTACGCATAGCCAACATCGACAAAAGGACGACTCCCATATTTTTAGGTTAAAGTGAATAAGCTTGAAAAAACCAATACATTTGATTATGACCCTAAATTTGATGACTGACAGTTAATATTAAAAATATGAAGTCTTCTATTGGCCAAAGAAGGGTACTGACATAGAGCCACAGCTCTAACATTCAAAAATTGAATCATATAAATTACACTATATTAGAAATAATATTTTTGAAGTTCTCTCTGTCTCTAGCAGTATGTACCAAGTCTTCAATCGTTCTTAATCCAGTGGCGTTTGTCTTCGATTCTGCCTTCAACAATCATTTGCAGCAATTCATATTTTGGACTTCGGATGATATGACCAAAATACCTACATAGTACATGAAACACCAAAATAGTACATGAAAATACCTATCATGTACTTAGTTTTTTTGATATTCATGGATATGTCAAAATCTCTACTCTGCTCATTAACTTTTTCAAGAAGAAGTTGAAGATCGTCTATACTATCAGCTATGAGTGTTGTGTCGTCTGCGCACCTGATGTTATTTATAAATATACCATTTACTTTAATGCCTTTGTCTAAATCGTTTTTGCAATCCTTGAAGATTGTTTCTGAATAAATGTTGAATAAAAGTGGAGAAAGGATGCATTCTTGGCGAACACCTTGTCGAACATCAACTAACCAGGTTGTTTTAGCTATCAGATAATATTTCACTTTAATGGTTAGTTTTATCGTTGCCATTGAAATTCAGAGAAGAGCGCGCATGTGTTGAGCTTCAAGCGATTACTAAAGATTTGAGAGTGGCTTGACTATCCATGAAGATTGCCAGATTTATATCGAGACTCTTGTTGCTTAGAAGCTGAAAGAAGCTGTAATGATTCAATAGTCGAAGCGTTATGTCAGATTAATTTTAACTGTTTGAGAACCGTTAAAAATGGTTCCACTCCTATCAGCAGGTTGGAGTAAAAAATCAATTCATGAGGCTTGAAAGTAATATAGAATAACATAGATTATCTTTTAAATTCATTATTTTAGTGTAATTTCAGAATGAATATTTGAAGAAATAAATTCATGCCGAGTTTGTAGGCGCATTTATACAATTTATTTGAAATCAATTTTGTTATATCAATATATATGATATCAATATATCAATATATAATATATATGAATGCTATATATTTTGTTAATAAATGTTATGTTTTATATTAAGCTTATGAGAGTTTTAAATCTAATTAAAAAATTTACAATAAATTTTTTTTTTGTTTTTCTTTCTTAGTACAACGTGTTGTATGAGCGATAAGTCTTTGTCTTAATAATGTATTAATGTTTTTCACTACAAAGTGAATTAAAAATCAAATTACTAAATATCTAAAAGTTATTTATTTAATACAAAATTTCTAAATATCACTTAGATATATCTAACAAAAAATAATAATTTATTTTGCTACCAAATTGTTTACGATATTTTTGAAGTGAAATTGAATTTGTGGATTTTATCAAAAAAATTTAATTTATCTAGACTAAAGTTAAGTTATGTTGAATACAAGTCGGAAATGAAAATTTTAATTTATTTATTTATTAAAACAATATTTTAAATGATATTAATCATTGTTAAAAATTAATAAAACAAAGTTAGTCATAACTGTGAAATGTTCAGTGCACTTAAAATATATTGGCACAACGTCAAAGATAGTCATTGAAATAATAATAAAAACACAAAAAAAATATAGGTATATGCTGAAGACTTTAGAGTTCCCTATCGCACCTCGCACCTATCTAAAATTTCATTATAAATGACTGGGTGGCTGATAGTGATAATATTTGTGATAACATTGCTGAAATGTTGATAAGAGAAATTGTTCATAGTGCTTTGAAACTCATAAGCCCATAAGAAAATACTAACTCACACACACTGAAAACCGTTAACATATATTGGCAAATTATAGATGGACAAAAATAAGTTACAATTGGTCCCATAAGTTCTGATAAGATGTTAGATTCTCTAGTGTACTCACAACAGCGGGAAAGTCTATTTCGACAAGTATTTAAAACGTCGCATGGCTTATAGACCATTATTCAAACGAAAGCCTTCAAAGCGTTAATTTTAAGCTAAAAACGAACGCAATTTTTACTCGAAAACGGAATTATTTGCGTCTGCGGTTAAGAAAATACAATAAAAAAATAAAAAAATAAACGAAAAAATTAAAATTAATTTCAATAAATTAAATAAATTAAGTGAAAAACTAATAAAGTCAAGATGAATTGCTTAGCATCAATAGTTAAATACATTTTGTATTTATTAAATTTAGTATTTGTGGTGAGTTTCTTATAATTTTAATATAAGTGTTAATTAAATGTTATCGGAAAAATAATAATTATAAGTATATTTGAGCTTATGAAGGATTAAAATATAAATAAATATTTAATATATTTAATATATATAGACATATATACTTTTTAAATTTGCTCGTATTTATAAGAAAAATCTTTATTTTCTCAAGTTGACATTACTATTGCATAAAATTTTCCTTATCTAAACAAAAACTAACAAATAAAAAAAGGAATAAAAATAAGAGAATAAACCAAAAAAAAAATCGTAAAATATATATAAATATAATTTGTTAAAATGCACTTAAATAAACAAATAAAAGATAAAAAATTTTGTTGAAGGTTACACGTGGTCCAGATATAATTTAACTTCATTTACATATAATAATTTTATACTTATAATTTAGAGATTAAAGTTCTATATAAAGTCATTTGAAAAGTATATAAAGAAAGTAGAACAATTTATACAATTATATTTTTTATAATTTTAAATATTCTTTCGATTATTATTTTTTAATTGCCACAAATATTATTAATAATTTTAACAAGAATTGGATTAAGTAATAAAGATTAATTATTCTTCTTCTAAGTAAAGGATTAAATATAATATTCTTTGTTCACTGATTATTATATATTACGCATAGCTTTTTACCTAAGACCCTTTTAGTCGTGCGATGACCTCATGCAACAAAGAGTTTCAGAAATTTTATTACTTATCTATAATACTTTTAAAAATAACTAATATTTAACATTATACAATATATTTCGAAAAGTACTTAAATTGTACAGTTTGTTTGTTTATTATATAGACTATGATTGATTTCTTCGATAAAACGTTTTTAAGTACAGTAAACTTTGGAGTCTATGTACCTTAATGATATAAATTTTTACTACATATAGTAATAATTTAAACTTATACAAGAAAGATAAGCTTTTATGATATAAAATATCAATATTTTGTAACAGATAAAATACTATCGATATTTTGAAAATTTTTAGGGTTCTTAGTTACCAAAACAAAACACTCTACAACCTAACAGGTATATGCGTAATCTCTAGCTGTGGCTAGCTAAATCTATCTACTAAAACACAAAAAAAAAAAAATGACAATTGTCTATTGAAAGAGGAGAGCTGTATTATTTTGTTATAATGTAGTAAGGTTAAGAATATTGACGAGACCAAAAACATATAAACCATAATATTTTATAAAGTCTATCGAGTGGGTAAAGCTCCATTATATTCCTAAAAACGACTAAGAATACAGCTATAAGGTGGGGAATCTTATACACCACGATTTTGCTAAGACTAAGTATAACAAAAAGACAACTAACATATAGATACTTTACATATTATAAAAATATATAATCTTCTTGTATAAGTATTAATAGAATAAATGAGATTTAAGACGCCTTCAGAGTATTATTTTAACTCTCTCATTCACTAAAGCCAATACACTTCATAATTTATTCGCAATCCAAACCGACTTTGTTTAGATACAAAAGAAATTAGTCAGTTATAATTTCACAAATATTGTAAACAATATAAAAGTGTAACATTTGTTATATTAAACGAATAATACTTTAATAATATTATATAGATAGTCGTATTTAATCTTACTAGAATTTATTTTCAAAAACTTTTTTGAAGTCAAATTATGCATGTGACGCTAAAGCTAATAGGCAGCTTTTATTTAATACCTTATATTGAAACTTAATCCACATATCAATTTGACTCTGTTCAAACATTCAAAAAGATACAATCTAGTATAATTATTATAAACAAATTTAATAAATATATATAACTTTGTTTACTTTTGTTTTTATCGATTCAATGGAATTCTTAATTAAGTGTGATACTGTCAATCAGTAAGAAATTTTGATGACATTCACTTTTCAACTTAATGAGATACCAAATTAATAGACAAAATAATATTTTGGTCTAACGATTGATATATTGTCATACTTTCATATTAACATAAAGTTTTTTTTATTAACAGAACAGAGTATATAAAAGTCGATGAAACCAGTTTGAACATATGAGCTAATGAATAATTTTAAAATAGAAAAGGGAAATCACATAAATGTCAATTATGATCTATTTATTATGTCAAGATAAAGAATTTTTAAGACTAATACTAACTGTAATTAGTGATATATGGTCATAAGGACCACTACTTTGAATATTTTTTATGCCACAAGCATTGATTAGAAAATACTTTCATATCTTTTTCTTCTATAATTTTTCTATAATTGATATAGATCTGCTACGCAATTGTCTCTCATAGATCTTTATTTTTTCCGTTCTTTATGCATAATCTAATCCAAAGAAGTCGTCCTCTTTAGCTTTCTTTTGGGACTTACCTTCGAGTATTAACTGTTGCTTTTTTTCGATAAAAATTTGAACTAAACGCCTCTAGCTTTGTAGTTTCTGTCATAATGGCATCTTCTCTGATTACCTTCCTATAGAACAGTTCCTATAGAACTGTTATGTCGCAAGATTTTTCTCTTGTACATAGCAAGTCTGTTTGACTTACTTTCCGTCATCAATTCTCTATGCATAAAATTAAATTATAACATAGTCTTCATATATACTTCAACAAATAGAATTGTGCTGTTCTGTAGTTCTGTTCTGTACAAATACAGGATAATCTAGCAAATAAAAAAGAAAAAAAATTAATCTTCAATTAATAAAATTTTTTTATTATTAATAATAAAATATTTTTTCTTTAACTTTTCAGGTAATTGGCGTACTGCTCATTGTTTTGGGTGGTCTTATGTTAGGCAACTTAAATAGCTTTACGTCAGTGGATGATGCTGTTAATACAGAGGTAATACCTATTCTGGTGATTGTTTTAGGTTGCATTGTGTTCTTGGTAGCATTCTTGGGATGCTGTGGTGCTATTAGAGAAAATAGCTGCGTTATGACCACTGTAAGTATAATAAGATAATATTTATTGTATTCTAAACAATCTTGAATAAAAAATATATCTACTTTTAGTATGCTATCTGTATGTTTGTCATATTTGCCTTGCAACTCGCCTTAGTTATTTGGGTCTTCGCAAGATATGATGAATTCTTGAACACCATGTCTGATGTTGTGCAAACCGCATGGAAGAATAACGATTCAGCTCATGGCATGCCAATGGATGCTATACAACTAAGCGTAAGTTAATTGTTTTATTTCGAAATAACAAATATGTTTATTTAATAAAATTAATTATTTTTAATTATAGTTCAAATGTTGCGGTCTTAATAGCTACCAAGACTATAATGGAAGTGTACCTTCTTCATGCTGTGGTGAAACTATTGGCACTTGTGCAGCTAACATTTATGAGAGTCGCCCTGGTTGCCAGAGTGCTTTCTATGATTTCTGGTCATCAAATATGGACATCATCCGCTATGCAGGCATTGGTGTTGCAATTGTCGAACTCGTCATCTTCACATTATCCTGTTGCATTGCAAGCAGCATGCGAAAAGCAAAGTAAACCTATGCTAAGAAATAGTTTCAAAAAAATTAGCATTTTTATTTCATAAAATTCTTTCCATTAATTCATTTAGTTCTTTTTTATTTGTGTAAATATACATACATTAACTTGTTATTTTTGTTTTTAACTAAACAAATTGTTAACAATAAATATTTTTTTTAATATTTAAAAAATTGCTTTTAAATTTTAATTAATTGTAGAATATTACAATAAGAGCTTTAAGGGTTTTGACGTAGTTATGAGGTAGTATGGGGTCTCAACAGATAAGATTTTCGGATAAATTTTTTTTTGACATTATGAATCTGCATTAGAACCAAAATTAATACACTCTTTTATAAGATTTAATTCATTTCTGAAATTGAGAAATAAAAATCGAAAGTTAATGCCTTTTAAAATGAATTATAATGTATAAAACTAAAACCTTTAAACTAAGTAAATAAAACCTGAATTAGGTAAATGCAATTTTCTATTAAACAAGTAAGGTTATACTTAAATATTAAAATCAAATATTAAATAATATTACAATAAGTTAATGGTAGTTATATTTTAATATTCTGTAATATTGGTAAGTATCAGCGATTCACTGACACGTGGATACCTACCAATATCACTCAATATACTCTTATGTAAATTAAGATATAGCCAGTTTACTTTAAAATTTTCAATAAAAATTTAGCTCTTAATTTTAAGATACTAATTTTATTGAACTATTTTATTAGGTACTGTTTGGATATTGAAATATTTTATCAGCAAATTATACAACATAAATGTTTATCGTTATATGCAATACATTATATAGACCAGTTGGTCTGAACGCACAAGAGACATATTGGAAACATGAAATTTCCTTAAATTAATTTTATGATTAGTTATCAGAAAAATGATATCTCGAATATATAATTAAAATGGATCATTTAAGAAAAATTATTTAAAAAAAAAATATAATATTAAAAATCATTAGATTTATTCACATATATTGAGGAAATGACACCAGAACACCTGATGTGTCTTTGTCCAGGTTTGGCCAGAACTAGGTATAGGTTTCTAGGGGCCTCCTTTTTCAATTCACTTGATGATATCTCCAGCATTAGCATTAGCCAGATTCTTGCCTTTGTTAATGCCTCTGGCTGGTTCTAGTTTGACCTTCTACCTACTATCCACTAACATATTACGAGGTTTTTGTGGATTCAAAACGGCTTTTTGGCTAATTGAGAAGGACTCGTCCTCCCTCCACCACAACTAATTAACTATTAACTTATAAATATTACTGTTGTTACAAGCAGTGCTGAAAAATAAGAAAATAAAAGTTTCGTAACCACTGTGTATGCAGTAGATTATGTAGATTATATAATTAGTATTCACTTTTTTATCTATAATAGATGAATTGTATCTAATATAAAAAAGAAGTAATTATTAGTAAATAATCACAAAAATATTATAATGCAGCGAACTTGGTGGGTCTTCAATATACGTGATTGGGTCCTTTTATGAATTATGGTTTTGTTCTCTTATGGTACCTATTCGTATCTCTATTATTTTAAAAAATTTCCTCTGCCTTCTCTTGCAATAACTTATTTGTGTTTCATTAATGTAGGTTTATTAATAAAACATTATTATAGGGTGATTTTTTCACCCTATAAATATGCAATAGTCGTAAAAGTTTAATGGATAAATTTTATATATTTATGTATATTTTATATATCTTTTTACATCTTTATTTAAAAACGGACGTAGAAATTCGGAATGAATTTCATTTGTAATATTAAAGGTATAACTGTACCAGAAGTTGTGGTGCGCCATCAGTTTATTGAAACTTTAAGTAATATAAATGATTATGATACTTTTAAATGAGGTTAATAGAACTATATATAAAAAAATGTTCAAATCGTTGAGCTGCATTTTGTCGTAACCTATAGAATGCTTAAGATTGTTACGGTAGCAGAGAGAGTACAGCGAAGAATCTCACAACTGGGATTGGGATATGGGATATGTGAATATACAGAGATCAAGCAGTTAGACATTTTGTTCTTTACATTCTGGTATAAGAAAAAAATATGTTATGTTTGTTTTATATCTTGTTTAAAAATATGAAAAAAGACTCGTTTAATAATTATTTCCGAACCCTTAACCATTTCTCATATTTTTGGCTTCTTACATTTATTTTTCCAACCAATGATAACATTTTTTCAGGTTTGTTATTAATATAAAACGTTAAAGCTGCAATGATAAGTGTAAACTCATTAACATTGTATGTAATTAGGAGAATGAATAGAAAAAAAAATTATTTTATCATTAATGATAGTGGTTTTGTGAGTTTCAGTTCTCAAATGAAGGGCAAAAGAGAGATTACTTAATAGGCTTCATATTCGGAAATCCTATATTTGCTTAAACGTCAGCAAACAACAATTTTGATATTTACTTCTGATATTTTTGGTAAAAATTTGCTACTAAGTAATAAACTTATTTGAATCGTAATCGCATTGGGGAACCACACACAATTTTTAATCTCAACAATAGGAAGTAACAAATAAATATTCAAAAAGTTAAGAATGGGTTGAATCATAACAATATCAGAGTGGAAAAATATTTATATTTTAACCAAAATTAAGCCAATTTAATATTTAACATAAATACACAAAACATATTTAAGTTCTTCATATAAGATAGTGCCACAAAGTAGAGATAAAAATATTATATTATTACAAGAGATATCACTCTCTGCTCACTGATAAGATAAGGTTAGGGGGGCGTTCGGTGGTATATGCTATAACATTGGTATCGATATTATTATTCGAACGAAACCCGTTAATATGCGCGGTTAATTGCACTCATAGTTGTACTCAGATTTAAAAATCGAGGTTCACATTTAGATCATTAAGAGTCATTCATGTGGTTCAAATTGAAAAGTAAATAAACAAATCGAAGTACGAGCAACGAAATCGACAAATTATACATAATCACATAAAAAATACGGTTCAATATTAAGCGATATGAATTGTCTGGCGAAAGTGATTAAATATATTTTATTTGTATTTAACTTGCTGCTCTTGGTAAGTTTTTAAAAATATTTTATAATGAATAAAATTTTTTATTACAAAACTTAATGAAATTTTAGATAACTTGCATTCTAGATATAATCAAAAATATAAAATATATGTAAAAATAATTAATTTATAATTAAAATTATTTTTGTACAATATTATTATAATATTATTACATTTTCTATGATATAACTTCGATATATACAATTAAACTATATATTTTTTTTATAATTTATTTATTATATTATTAAAAGTTATTTTATAAATAATAGTTGTGAAAGTGTTTGAATTTATTGATTTTGTATGCAAAAAGAATGACATGTGTTATTTTATTTTTTTATATAAAAAAATAATATTTGCTTATCATTGATGGGATTATTTAACAATTTTTTAATTTTTTGTAGAAAGTGTAAATATATATATTTTTCGTGGCATAGATAAACATTGCTTCAAACTTGGTTCTCATAAATTTGAACAAAACTAAAATTAAATTATGTTATATAAAATTTTAATTTAATAATTATTTATAATTATTAACTTAGCTTAATAATAAACAATAATAAAATAATAATAATAAAATAATAATCACTATACTATAGAATTATTGACAGCCGAATACTTCACATAGTAGTTGAACACCAATATATTTAATAAATACTAAAGGTGCTGTTAAAAATTTTAGGTTTTCACTATAAAAAGATTAAAGTTTCGGTTTTATTCATCATTCTGAATTCTAATACAATTATTATAAATTTTTTTTTAGTACTTCTATATCTTTTTTATAGAAGGATTTATCAAGAATTTCAGAGTAAAATCAATTTTGGCTAGAGGTTCTTCATTACGCCCAAACTTCTTTCTGCGGAAGATCTGCTGGTTATCAGATGTAGACAATACAATAGGGGAGAGCAATTTGTACTGCAATTTGTATAATTTGATCAATACGATAATTAATTTCTGTTACAGTTCATTATCTTGATGCAAGAACACCTTATTCTTTTTATATTCTTTAAATTTCACTTACAAGTTTTGATTGAAGATGTCTTTTCATTGTACTTAGATACTAGTATGTTTTGAATACCTGTCAAAATCATCAACTTCCTTTTAATTAGATCAAACACGTTACTCGCAATACAAAGAGTGTACCAACTTTAATTTTACATCAAGTAAAGTTTAAAGTAAAGTTAAAAGTTATTTATATAAAAATTCGTTTCAAAGAATAGTTTAAAAATTATTTTTTGAAGTTATTCCGAGTAACTGGTTCATAACATCAGTCAGGCTAATGTAAGTGAAATTCGACCTTCGTATACCACTGCGTAGTTAGTCTGGGAAGAGCAAATGTATCCAGACCAATTAAATCAAGAATTGTAACAAAATATTGTGTCTCACCACTTAACAAAGCAACACAATATATTTTTTCAGTTAGTTTCTGGACATATAGATATTGAGAGCAATGAACTAGCATATAGTATAAGAGGATCAGAATAGGTTCCGTAATGGACATAAATAAGACCGATAATTTAATATATACAACGATGCGGAAACTATTTAGCTGTTTATATGGAGTCACCACTGCGTCTACGAATTGTGGAAACTAGTATCGTATGGCTTACATTATTTTAGGTTTCAAAAAGCCTGCAGTGCGTGTGATTACTGGTGTGGAAGCCATAAATTGTTTTCCATATATCTCCTTGAAACTACAGCCCAAGTGATTTTATTATCTATAGCGAAGATATACTTATCGGATCTTTTTAACTTAATCTGGAAACCTGCAAATGGTTTTACAAGAACAATAGATGTACTAAGCGGATATAGTGATACTTTTATTAATACGCCTTCTCTTAAACTAACTTAACCTAACCCACAGTTAGGGCGACTTTTTATCATTGTAATGTGTAAGACTAGTATTAAATTAAGAATAGTGTCGTTCTAAAATTGTGTAAGCCCCTCTTTTCCCTCGTATTCAGAATTTTTCAAATTCAGAGACCGCATAATTCTAAAGCTGCCTAGAAGTTTTTTCAGATTATCATTTGAAGCAGCCAATAAATACTCCGCACATATATATTATATCACATATTTTAATACGATTTATAATTTCACATCATATTTTAATTCATGAAATAAATTATTTTAAAAAATTATCTTCAATTTTTTTTATTTCAGATTTCAAGTTTATTTTTCATAATATGGTTTGGAATTGTGTTGGGTTATATGGTGCACGTGGATAATGACGTAGGTTACCAAATATTGCCAATAGTTGTCATTGTCATGGCCAGTATATGTTTTATAGCATCTTTCCTTGGTTGCTTTGGCAGCATAAGAAATAATATTTGTCTATTAAAAACTGTAAGTATTCTTAATTATTTAAATTTATATAAAATGTTATTTAATTTTAATTTTCTTTGCAGTACTCTATCGTAATGATCATACTATGCTGTATCGAAGTAATCGTTATTATATTAATATTTGTCACACGTCAACAAATTAGTAAAACGGATGTTAACAGTAAAGATATGGCTAATATAATTGGGGGTATTAGTATAGGTATAGCAGGAATAGAAGCATTGGCTGCTTTATCTGGATTTTATTTAATTAAAAGTATAAGAAATAATCGTATTCAGACATCAGTTGAGGAGTTCCAAAATTATTAGGCCAATTTTTATTTCTTTAGCAACTTTAAAACAATAAATTCAAAGCTTGATTAGAAGATATATTATATTATAATAAATAATCACACAGATAGTTAAATTTGTAATTTTATTCTTGATTTTGTAAGCATTAGAAGTGATATTACAATATAGAGGTACAAATACTATTACTGTATAAATAAAAATATTTTATACAATTTTAAAATTATATTATATTGCAAGATTATCTGCTTATTTAGTATTTATTATTTCATTTTATCATACATTACTTTCAAATAATTTTCGGATCAGAGTTAGCACAAGGCTAAAGTTAGGCATAGGTTTCTGAAAAAAAAACTAAATACATAAATGTATTTGATTAAGCATTGTACTCTCTAGACATGGTACGTGAGTTTTTTTATTCTCGAAGTTCAAATTTCCAGGAAAGTCTTTTGAGTTTATTACAGCTGTATAAGAAAATTGACTAAAGGTTATTTTAAAGACCATACATATTTATTATTATGTCAGGTGCAAACAATAACTCTTCATTATACTTCGTCCAATATTAAACTATTGCATTTTGCTCTATTCGTCATCACTGAACAATTTTTTTTATTATAGTCATATTCAGAAAAATCTTAATCTTTTTCAAATTAGTGTTTAATTTCTCGTCCATCAAATCTTTGTGGAATATTATATATTATATAAGAGAAAGAGATGCTCCTGGTATATGTAAAGATGTTCCTGTATCTTTCTTGTATAGTCTGCACTCATCGGCTTCTGAAGACCAAATCTAATACAACCTACGAAAAACGTGTGGAAGATTGAGTTAAGCGCTGCTGTACTGCACTCCAACGGGTCGATCGATT